ATCAATAAAATGCCATATAATCATATGTAACTCATTAAATATCGAAATTAGAAGAAAAGTGCATCCTTAAGTTGAGTTCGAGACAGATTTGATCCATTTTTTCATTATTATATCAATTATTGTATCGATCATTATATGAAATATTGTATTAATTTTTATTACATTTTATAACCGGCAGTGCATGATGCAAATGAGTTAATAGTACTACTTGATTAAGATGATTGAATCAGCTGGATATTGGAGTATGAGAGTATTAAACTATTAGAGCATTGTCATGTTAAAGCGTTGAAATACACGTAGAGAGAGAGAGAGAGAAAGACGTTGAATGTGAAACTTTGGGAAACTAATTAAAGGCAACGGGAGTATTGTGGAACAGTTAACAATCAATGAACCGTGCTGCGCTATTTCGATTAGAAATTCAAATCTTCCTAAGAGAGACATCCGCATAGAATAATATATGGATCGGGCTCCCCAGAGTTTTGGCCAATAACTGCGAACTATAATACCCCCGGTGCAATCTAATAGATACATTTTCAGGAAGGAATTATTTCTATCTAGATAATGACAAATGGGTCTACTTGGTCAGCTAACTGGGGCCGTATGTGTGTCAGGAAATAACCTGTTCGCCGCGGTGTCTAGAGGAAAGAAACCGAATGGGGACGTGTAACTCCGGAGTACCGAGAGAAAGGAAGGAACTGCGAGATGATAAAAAGGCTGTGTCGGAGAAAAGTGGCTAAAAGCCGGAGGTACGTGAGTCTGAGGATTTTATAAAATGGAAAAAGGACCACGATGGAAGTTTATTATGTTCTCGAATGGTGCTCTCCGGAAGGACCGAGGAAACACGCAATTTTCATGATAAAGCAAACAATAAAGTCGTCCAAAGTCCGCGGAGTAATAGAAAAAGTGCCGTCGTCCAGAGTGGGCCGCGCGATTGCCATAATAAGAGCCGTCAAATTAATGGACGGGTGCGTTATTAATTTATTCCTCGACACTTGGGATATTAAAAAATTCCAGACGGAACGTTCAAAGAAAAGGGTCGAGTTATTAAACGAAACGCTGAACAAACGGGATGAATGAAACGATGTTAGCAAAAGAGCGAATGAATTAAAAAGAGAACGAGCATAAACGGAATGATAAATAAATTAGGAAGGCTGGGGCGTAATTTTTGGGAAAGATTCCTGTAGAAAGTGAAAATTGATGATAAGTGAAATAACATGTAAAAGAGCAGGAATATGAAATGGGAGAAAGACGGAGAGAGGACGATCCATCATCCCGGAAGACGGGGACTGCAAATAACTCCGGGTCAAAGGCATCAACGGATATGTTATAAGGCTCGTTCCCCATTTTTTCTACTTGTTTTTGGCGATTCTTCACCAACTGAAAGGGAGAGAATGAAGAAGAGGGGAAGAATTCTAAATCAACCGGGCTCATTAAAGTCACTTTACTGCCTTCCCACTTAATCCTTTCTGTTTCAAATCGCGTGTTTTAACTCCACGAATTTTTACTGCCGGGAGTTAATTTGGAACGAAGTCGTTTGAAGACGGTTGGAAGAAATAAATTGGACCCGGTTAAAAAGTGTCGGATCGCGTTAGAATAGATCAGAAAAGGATTTAAAGTGGGCCGAGAGTAACAACGGAATCGAGCGACTTAGTGTCGATCGAGAAAAAATGTAGAACCTGAACTGCGTGAGATTTGTTTGCCCATTGTGAACAGAACGTATTGTGTGCAATGTTGCTTAACGGAGAGAAAAATAAGTATAATTGTTCGGTGACCCAAATGGAATGCTAGATACGCAATAAAAGGATTTACGCGATTCACGTGCGCGTGCCATCGCGAACCTTTCGCTTGTCTGTGTTGTAATTTTTAATCATGGCATCCGCGTGAGACGTTTTGTTCTACCACACGGTGAAAGTAACAGGTCGCGTTCTTAGCCGTGAGAATCTCTGACAGCGATGCAATTAGTGCGAAACATATCTCTTTTATCATAGCAGATTCAGCAGAAACAGATATCATCACGCGGTTTATCAACGCTCACGATAATAATTCTGTGTCTAATTTAGAGAAAAGCATCTTATATTTCAATCATACATCGCAAATAAAATGAGATCTGCTACTTTTATTAGCAGAAATATTTAAATGATGTCTAAACTGCACATTTTATGCATTTTATAAAGAAATACGTATTCAAGATTTTAGCTCAAAAATTAAATGGATAAAAAAGACATCTACTTGTATAAATTTCATTCGACATGAAAAATGTTTTAGTTTGCATAAAAATCTGCAGTCTAGTGGTGTCAAACAAACTCTACAGTGATAGGAAAGTATGTTTATCTTACTACTAGTAGAATCGTTTTAAGAAAAATAAACTCGAGTTCGACCTTGCATAACGCAAAATAAATTCGCCTGTCTCGTATTTTTCGATACTATCGCGCGTGCTTATTGTAGCTCGTGTATTACTAAGAAGTCGCCACCTAAATCTATCGACCCACGCTTTTACGAGCTTTCTGAACTCGCGCGAAATAAATACGTAGAGTATCATTCATGATAATATCGATAATTTATAAATGTACAGCAACGTGCAATTAAAAATGGTGAGAACGTTTGCAATCATTTCGTAACTCTCAAGAAGTTCAGAGATGATTAAACGAAGATTGCCAAATGTTTAATAAGGATAATAAACTGGACTCACCTCCTCATCCGACAGCGGCTCCTCGTAGTCCGACTGCGTGTCCTTGAACACGAAGATGCAATCGGATGGTTCCAACTCCCGCGTGTTCCCGAACTGCGTTTGCCGATCTCTCAGCTGATCTAAGCAGGTCGTCTCAACCATGCTTCGAGCTAGTTCAAATTTGACAGGAAATGCAATCCTCTTGATTAGAGCATTCTGTAATCAGAAAACAAAAATACTTTTACCCAAAACTTGAATCGTTCGCATGAAGATTTACATTCACTGTCGGATTTAATTGCAACTGTCGGAAAATTAATAAGCTATCGTAATGATTTCGATTTATTATCGAAAATTACAAGTCTCTAATCACCCCTTCATTCAAATTGAATAGACAATCCAACGTTCTTAATACAAAAAAAAAACAGCTGCATCCAGAAGTTGCGTTGTTCGAATAGTTAATTGAAATGAAAATCTACATTCACTGTTGGGTTTAATTTAATAGTTCGAGAAAGTAATAGTCTAGGTAATTGATAAGCGGTATCAGTAATGGAAGGATTTCCATTCATCATCGAAAAATGTGAGTCTTTAAATCACGCTACTCCATTCATCCGTGTACACGTGATACGACCACATGGCTAGGCTACTTACAGGTTCATTTATAGATTCGAACGAATACGGCGATGAATACAGTATGGATCGAATTATCGTTTACGTCACGTCAATGTACTGTACGCGTGTTATCTGGCTCTGCATACGTATATATAGAAATAGAAACGTGCACAGCACGAGCAGCGTGTAATGCATTCACGTTGGCCCGATAATAGCGGGTTCTATTACAGGTTATGTCAAACGCGGCACGAGCCTCGAAATACTTGTCAATTAAACGATTTCTTAATGAAGCATCGTTTTAAACGATGATACGAATTAAAAGTGAAAAATAGAGTAACAAATGTTCTGATAGAAAACGAACGGAGGCATACGTTCAGGTTACGAGACAAGTGCGACTTCATTGCATGAAAATAAGTAATTGAGATAAGAGAAAGTAAATGATTAAACAACTTACTACACGGTTCTTTGACGTGAAGAATAGAATATTAATCAATTGAGAGAAACACATAAATAAATAATGTATTTGTTTAAGAACACAACACTGAAATATAGGAACACTGTAAACGAGCGACTATTCCAAATGGTGCCACCATCTAGCGATGGCGTGTATAACTAGCAAGAAATTTAAGTTTGAAAAAATCCCGCCTATACTGTCGTACATACATATATGTATGTATACATACGTAAGTAGTAAGTACATACATACACGTATGAGCTTCCTAAAGTTCTTATATACCTACAAGAAATTCTATAAGTATGTCATCATATAAAAAGAACAGTCTTATATTTCTATATGATTCAATAATTACATGCGCATTCGTAATAAAAATAGTTTATCATAAAAATCTCGTTTATAATAAAACAAATTACTTTTTATGCCTCCACATTCATGGGTTCATCTTGCTTTCTGGAAATAAACTGCATGCCAGGTTTTAACGCGACGTCGCCTTTGCCGTTTGACTCGAATTTACAATCACTCAGCGAAATTTCCGGCACTTTTTCCAGTAATTCTGGGCCACCGACTTTACTCTTCGAGTCTTCTAAGTATTTCTGTGTTTCCAATCGGATCGCGTATTCTTTGAAGTTACTTAAACTACACTTTTTTCCAATTAATTTTGCACCATCGTGAAGCTAAAATCATCAGGATATGATTGCGTTATTATTAGCAAACATGTACATAATAAGCTAAAATTACATACTTGTATACCCTCCGCGCAGTTTTTAAAACTGCAGTTGTTCAGTGTTACTTCTCCATTGCAATAAATGACTAAACCAGTCCCAAGACTGTCCAGAAGAGTATTTTCCATTACTAGTTTCGCATCGGGTAAAACGACAACTCCTAGTTTTACTGTACTCTGATTTAAGACACATATTTTACAATTGACTATTTTTGTGGTACCAGCCCTCACTATTATAGCTGCTCTTAGATCACCCACGTTCATAGTTATATTCTCCAATAAAACCTATAAACATACAGTTTTAATTAAAGAAATCAAAGATAAGATTGAACCTCAAGGAGACAGCTTACTTCATTGCCAGAGAAGTCGAACAATGAGGGTGCAGTCTCTGTTTCTTTCATATTAAGAATAGTATTCTCAAAGTTATAAATTCCTTTAATAATTCCTCCATCTTCCAAGCTCCCAGCACTTTTTATTTGATGAGTTCCTTCTCCAACTAATATGATATCTCCTGCATCACAAGTATGCAGTGTGTCAAATAAAGATCCAGATATTCTGCATAAGGAAAATAAAAAAATCAATACGTGTACAATTTATGGCACGTTTCAAACTTACTTGAAATACAACTCTGCAGGTGTCAAAGATTGAGCCTTGTTTATGGCTTCCTTCATTTCTTCTAGACTACCACCAAGCCATACGAAGTAGCCTTCCATCTTCTCTTTCATATCTTTCCTCTCTAGTTTATCATTGTCCGAGGACGAAGTCTTATTCATAACGAGAATTTCTCTCATAGATGGATTCTCAAGAACTTCCATTTCTCTCTTAATTTGTTGTAATCTAAAATGAAGTTTCATCAACTGACATGCTGTTCCTCCATCAATATTACTTTCAGATTCCTCCTCCTCTTCTGAGATTGTGTTCTCCAATTTCGATATTTTTTGTTGAATCTCTTTTCCCTCCCTCACTAGACCTCTGATGATTTCACAGGTGTCTTTGCTGACTATGCCCCTTTTCATGTCAAAGAACAATCTAATTCTCGTTTCCAGATGTACAGACACCCAATCGACATCATCATCATCATCCACATCCCATGGCATCCATAAATAATTGTAAAAGAACCTTAGTTGGTCGATACAGTTAGCAGTTCCCACCATGTCCAATGCTGTGTTCTCCTGGTTAAGCGTTGGATATAATTCAATGAGATGAACATCACATTTATCTGGCAATTGAATCTCGTCTTGAACAGCGGTGATCTTCACTAATGCAGACAAATCAGAGAAATCAACTTCTTCGATTTCTACGACCACTATCGTGGGATAGTGAATTTGGAAGTCCTCGCAGACCAGTCGTGGTATTCTCCATAAAGCTTGCCATCCAACAGGTTCTATCACGAGCTCCACGTGGTAAGACCATTCTGCCAGAATTTGTGAAGCGGGTACGATTTCGCCTCTGCTAGATAAAATGTCATTGAACTCGACCAGTCTCTCTTGAAGACTTTTATCAAAAGTATATATTTCCATTGGTATATAAAATAAATATTTTGGATACGTCAATGCAAATCGAAACTGTAAAACATACGAGGTATGCAAAAACCTCCGTACACCCGTCGAAACTAATAACACAAACAGTTGAACCTTGACTTGTACGTTTTAATATCTCACAGATAAATAAATCACAGAGACGTATGGTTATTAAAGAATTACAAACGAATTTTCAATCAACTTTCTCAGGCACCTGCATTACTTAACTGTCACAACAAATTCGAACTGAAAATTCGATAAACGTGATTGGTAGATTCGGTCGATCCTCGTTTGTTCTCGTTTGTTTATCGAGGTGCGCTTTATAGCGTGTCAACAACGTCTGGAAAATAATTATTTTACCTTTACCCAGAACAGAAACAGTGCCTTGTATTAACAAACAATTGAAAAGACGCCTCAATAAAATAATGGGTTTGTTTGGATCACATTAATTAAATGCATGTTCAGCACTCAAATGTTAATTGTCTAGAACCGTGCGGTAAATGTATAGTAGCCGTATGTAAATAAAATAACTTATAAACTTCTATTGTTTAATAGATAATTCTATTTTAGTAAATACTGATGAAAGTATGGAAGAGAAATCTAATAAAGCAGTAGAATTAGAAGATAAAGCTTTCGATGAAATTATCGGGCACGTTGAGGACATTTTAATAGGTACGTGTATGTGTGCGTACATCGAACGAATGCTTCAAGTCCAATTGTTTAATGATCCTCTTACGTTTTTAGAAGACGAATTCTATGAGCTTCAAAGAAAATTTTTGGAGACTTATTGGGATGTATTCGAACCCGTAGAAGAAAATAAATTAATTTATACCGATATATTTAATGAATATGTAAGTATTTCGATTAACGGTGTCAAAGCCGACTTTAGAGTAAACTTTAGAGTCGGCTATGACAGTGATATTTGTGTGCATATGAAATATATAATTTTTATAGAGCAAGGTTGTAGAAAATTATATTGTCAATCACTTAAGAAGAATTATACCAAATTTTAATATAGACAAATTCTTGGAATATTTAAAGTAAGCATTCCACTTTAACTTCTCATACTACACATAATCAAATTCTCCTTATAATCCTTAATCGGTTTAGTGTTAGGCAAACTGAATTGGACGGTGAAGTTTTCGAAATGTTAGCAACATTGATTGACTTCGTGGCTTTCAAACAACTGTTCCTCGATTATAGGGCTGTAAGCATTATCATTATGTGACAGAAGATAAAGGATATAAATAATCATGACTAATTTTTAGATCAAGGAAGGAAAGTATGATGGCCTTAGTTCTGGAATACATATAACATCGTTTCATACAAATAACAAAACTAACAGTTCTCCTTGAATCGGAAAATAGAAATAGAGCACGAGAATACATGATACATAATGAGAAAATAGTCCCTGATTGTATTCTTCAAATATGATTAAGGGAGAGTACGGTTAATTCATTCACAATTTTTTCGCACATTCGTTACATTTCAAATAATACAAAGATCAAATATTTATGGGAATGCACAAGGAAATACAAAACACGTATACGTATAATGCATTATAAAACTTGGTTTTATGAACGCTTTTGTGTTTCACAAATTCAGTACTCGTTCGCTTGAAACTGTATATCCAAAATAAAGGAAATGTTTAATTTAACACATAAGAATCTCCATTTGTACAAGTTTACTATTTGTTTCGTTTGGCATTCGATATGGAAGTGTCCCCGCGAAACTCGTTAAAGCTCGTGCTTGTTCCCGGAGGTCGATAAGCTGCTGCTTTCTTGTTTCTTCATCGCCCGGTTCCATCGATCTTAACTTCAGATGCTGCCTATAAAGGATTGTCATTGTAGCCAAAAGGACGTCAGCTAAGGTACCAGATACTTCGGGCGGCACGCGTCGCAGAGCGTTCACCCTCTCATCGACTTCCTTTATATGTAATGGCAACAATCTTGATTCAGCAATGGTCTACAAATTAAATTCGATTCAATTATTGAAGACATGATAAATTAGATCATATAATTATTGTAATTGTGCTTACCCTAAGCGCACTTTGATATTGTTCATTATGAAACTGGTCAAAGAAAACCATTAAGTGCCTTAAAGTGTAAAATGCAGACACTAATTCCGATGGTGCTTGTATTTCAATATTTTCATATCTAAAGATAAGCATTTACATATTATAATTATATAATTACTAAGAGTAACAGTATCGTAGTATCGCGATTTAATGTTACCTCGTGCTTATCTCAGTAGAAGTGACTTGCAATCGAGATCTAAGCGAGCCTGGCGGAGCACTTTGACTGACAACTTGCGCTAAAAGCGTACACATTAAACTGAGAACTTTCTCGTGATTGCCAGCGAGGTCGTACATTGTCACAGCGTCTTCTAAAAGCCCTTTTCTGTATAACGTATCCGCGCTAATATTTATCACATCCTCAGTATTAACTTGGAACTCGTCTAAATCTCCTGGTACCCGACGATCCTTTTCTATTCTTCCGACCAACTTAGTCCTATTTGCTGGGGACGCGTCAACTACCATTTCTGCGGCGGATGCGGCGAACATGTTGCGATCATGCGGATCGTTCATAAATCTCAATAAAAATAGATAATGCAAACATTCTTTTGGATCTGTCGAGTCAAATCTTCTCACGTATAATAGTATCAACCTGGCGAAGTTCAATCTTTTCGCAGGTGGTTTATCAGCGGGATCGACACTTATTAAAGGCGCCAGAACGCTTTGGCTAACGCCTAATAAATTGTGCTCGTGCATAGCTGCTGCAAGATGCACGGCATGTGGCAAGTGCCTCGCCCCTGCTCCTCTTGCCAAGAATTCAATCGCGGCTTCAAATTGCCCAGTTAAAAATAACATCGAAAAATACACAAATGGCTGTTCGTGTGCATGATAATATGATTCTCCGTATATCTCCGATATTGTAGTTTGTAAATAGTCGAGGGTCAATTTGTTGTCCGCGTCTGGCTGATCTCTAACTTGACACAGTTTTAACCATAAGTAATCGTCAGCTGTGCAGATTACGTCGGAATGTAAGTCGTCTGGCTCGCAAGGAACAAGCGCGCAATAGGCGACCCTTTTATATGGATCGGTGACTGATCTAACGTGTTTCCTGTAGTGCAATTTTAGATTTGCTTCTGCAGAAGGTGTAGGGTGTCCCTTAGCGTCGCAGCAAGCTTCTTCCAAAGCATCTCGAAATTCTGGGAATTCTGTATTGCATTGATTAAGACATTGCAATGCTGCTTTGTAGTCGCCAACTCTCATACAATAATAAACCAAAGGCCACAATGGTTTTCCTTCAACCATGACACCCTCCAAGTCTGATAGATTTTGTACTTTGACCCTAACAAAACTCTTGACCAAAGGCAGAATGCCTGGGGTGCCACCCCTTTGAGCTTGCTCTAAATTTTCCTCGATAACAGATATTATAAAATCTTTGTATCTACCCTCCAAATATTTTCTCGCGCGTGATACTATTTCCTGCTCAACAATAGTACTACTCCTAGATTTAATCGGGTCTCCTCTGGGAACCGGTGGAATGTCTACCATCTTCTTAACCATTTGCCAAAGATCCACAGCTTTTTTGCTGTCGAACGATTGTGACTGCGCAGCTTTATAAAATGCATCGAACAAATTTGGCCTAGTTATGCCTCTGAGCACATGGTCATTATACTTCGTCAATTCTTTCACGTAAGCCATTTCTATATTCGATAAACCACTAACCATGGACCCAGCCAGTTTAGTACGTTGTGGCGTACCACGTAAATCTACGAGTTCCCCAGAAGGTGCAGTCATTGCATTTATTATCTCAAATCTCATTTGTTTCCATTCACCTAACATGTGCTCCATTTGTTGAAGTCTTGTGAGTTCAAATGTCTGAAATGTAAAATTATTAATGTAATACAGAATTAAATGTTGCGACATTAGATAGAGAAAGTATTATATCTTACATCTTTATGAACTTGTTCAATGATCGATAAGATCGCATTTTCTTTTTCATTTCTTAAATAACTAACTACATCTGTATCTGCAATGGGATCTAAAGGTTCAAATGTACGCCTTGCACTAAGTGAACTTAATTTCTGTGATATCTGAGGTAAATCAATTCCACGAGAACCAAGTAAAAGGTGTCTGAAATTATATAATTGCAATATTACTTTTCTCATTATTATGCTAGGTTTTGCTCAAGATTATTTTACATAAATTATTATCCTAAATGCTAATCATTATTCAACACTGAGTTCAAGGAATTCATTTTGCCGCCAGAAATTCAGAGGTTACATACTGTATTGCATGATCGTGAGAAAACTAACATAATTTCTTCGTCAAATGAAAAGATACAATAAGAGATTGTTAGAAGAATTTTGAATATCTGCGTTTACTTACGCCTGTACTTGATTATCCTGAGTGCCGGTCTGCGTGACACGAGACCATAGTTCGTTGGAAGCTTCTAAGATCTGTCGAAGATTTCTCTCAACTTGAGGAAGTTCTTCGGTGCCTTCCACAGCAGCGGATAACCGCTCTGCTGACCGTAATAATTCACCGAAACCCGTATCCGCCGATGCTCGATTAGAATTCAACATATCGTTAAATACAAAGTCACTCATACTTTCGCGTAGGTATTTGAAACTCGAACCACCGACGATGCTTACGAGACGAGTTCTATGAATGGGGCGAATTCAGGGAATTTTCGTAGGCAGTTTAACAATCTTCTTTAGTCCCTTATACCGTTTTCATTAAAAGATAAAACCATTGAGGAGGATAAAACTGTTATTATGAATTCCGTACTATGAGGAAATCAAGAATTCAAAGACAATCATTTACAATTCTTGGTGAACTTGTTATAAGTAAAACATGTGAAAGATTTCAATGTGTTTTTTTGAAATCAGTTCTTCGTATATACATGAGAATAGGTTTTCAGCTTCCAAGCTCTGTCAAACTTCAACTTATTAAATACCCTATTGAGGATTAACAATAAAAGTGATGTGGTGTGTATTCTTCTGCTTGAATTTGACTGTCACGAATCACCGTGTTCAGTAGTGAGCAATATTAATTTTTTCAAACAATTCTACCAAGTCTCGATGCATTTTTACAATACGACAAGTGACATCCGTACAAAACTTGACATTTGTCTAATCTAAATCACCGAGGGGGAGAGTGAAACGATGATCGAGATAAACGTTGCGTATCGTCCGCGTGGTTCACACACGTTGTGGCTAGCAGGTTTCGCATGATGATCGTCCGATATTAATGATGGAAAAACGGAATTCAAACAAGGATGACCGTCAGGTCATTCAGTATTTTGTCGCCAAACAAGATACTATCCTATCGCGTATATCTGGCGAGTGTGAAAAGAATGTTAATACGTTACACCTCGGCATGCTCGTCGAGGCTATCGAGGATTTGGGAGGTAGTGCGCTCAGAGTTCGTGTCGTTGACACGGCAGGATCAGAGATTTGGCGAGGCACTGAATGGCGTTGTCACAGGTTTGATTTAATACCAGTTACGTCGGAAGTATGGAAATTTTTACCTGCTGTCTCGATACCTCAGGAAAGAGTGCGCTTGGCCACCTACAAGCACTTGTCCGAAGAACTCATGAAACTTCAAATAAATGACACTGTCTGGTATTGTTCAGATTCCAAGAAGTGTAACAATTGTTTAGCTGCTATTAAATATATCGGACCTGTGCCACAGCTGGGCCAGGGATATTATTTTGGCATTGATTTGTTGGTAAAAATCTTTTAGCTTATTGATAAACTGGATTCTAGTATAGTGTTTTAAATGTACGATAATATTGCAGGACCCTCATGAACCATCTAAGGTCGATGCTTTGCTGAGTAAAGAATATTTTGTTTCAACGAATTCTGAAGGCAAATTCGCTACCTTGAGTAATATATTCCCATTAAAACCAGGTGGTCCAACAGGTCTTGCAAAGACAGACAAAAGTGAGGACATAGATTTTCATCTGTTTCTATCAATTTTCTCAGTTTCAGTTGAATCTTTAATTACAGATTTACTTATGGGGATCGAAGCAGGAAATAATTATATGAATGATAAAAAGAAATCTGTATTGGATACCGTACCATCTGTCTTGTTGGAGAAATTCACTCTATTCGATGATAACAAAAATAACAATAGAGAGCAGAGATCTATATCGAAAGAATATAGTCAATCAACGAAATCAATAATGCATGAGAATGACAGCAATGTAGCTAAAAGTGCGGTCAGCTATGGTAATAGGAATACAGAAATCAATATTAAGCTTGGCTTCTAGCTCTGTAGAACACCTTGCTGGCTTCACTAAAAATCTTGCATAGCACGCTTCTTCTCACCCACCACGTGTAGTAGAGGAGGGTTAAAAATAACCGAGGTGGCTAAAAATAGCCATAATCTTAGCCTCACTCGGTACTACCGGCAAGCTCCTCAATATTGTGAACTTATCATAATTTCGTCTTTTGCAAAATGGCAGCTGCGTTGCAAAACATCCCTATCTTTGTGTTAGAACATAAATGGAGTAGTGATATCGAATCAAACGTGTACAGTGACAGTGAACAGACTCCTAAACCTTCGACTCCATTGGATCGTAGTAAGGAATAGTAGACATTCATGAACTCTATTCTCCTCTCACTATTTCCTGTTTGCATAACTTACTAAATTCTACTGCAATTCCTCTGCTTTTTACCCACTCGTTTTTTTACGTTTAAGTATTCTAATTTAAATCTTTGTAATTGCTATAGGTAGTACACCAAATAAAAATGAAAATAAAAAATTTGGCCGAACGGAAAGTTCCGATTTAATTGTGGGCTCCAATGTGAAAGTTCTTTTGGATTCCGATGTACATTATGGTGTCGTTCGTTGGGTTGGAACCCCTCCCGGTATCACGCCTGGAAAATTGATGGCAGCTGTAGAATTGGTATGTACTAAATGGAAGGGAAAGTAAAGATTTTGGACATGTGATGAGAAAAATTTGACTTCCAGGATGATACTCACCCAACAGGCACTGATGGAACTTATAAAGATGTAAGATATTTTCGTTGTCGTCCTCACAGGGCTGTTTTCACAGACATCGAACAATGTTCCCGATATGATACGATGGTAAATATTATCTTTTACCTTGTTTCACGCTTGAGTATAGCTGTAACAGAAGGTATGTTATAGGAAAAGATCGATGATCCGACGACATCGATAAGTCCAGAGAATTTCGGAAGTATGGAAAGCTCGGTGATTGTCGGAATGGTACGGCCTATTTCCGTAAAAGGAAACTTGGAGAGTATTTGCGGAAAGTATCGAGGGATTCAAGGCCATCACAATTCCTGTTACCTGGATGCTACACTCTTCAGCATGTTTACGTTTACCAGTGTTTTTGATAACCTTTTATTCAGGTATTAGTTACTTTTTTCTCGGTTTCGTTCGATGTTACAGGATATTGCATATGATTATCTCGTTCATTAGACCGCCAAATGAAAAGGATTGTCCGCAATATGAAGAAGTACAAAGAGTATTACGCGAAGAGATAGTAAATCCACTTAGGAAAAATATGTTCGTGAGAGCGGATCGAGTGATGAAGCTGCGTACTCTGCTCGAAAAATTATCTTCCGTATCCGGCCTCACAAGCGAAGAAAAAGGTAGATATTCGCAATAGACAATTTTTTATGTACTAACATCGCTCGAACTCCTGCAGACCCTGAGGAATTCTTAACTTCCCTGGTTGCTCAAATTTTGAACGCTGAACCATTTCTTAAATTAAGTTCTGGTCAAGACGCGTACCATTATCAATTATTCGTCGAGAAAGACGACCATTTGAATATTCCAACTGTGCAGCAGCTGTTAGAACAAAGCTTCCTCACGAGTAATATAAGATTAAAGGAAGTTCCTTCGTGCCTCATCATACAAATGCCGAGGTTCGGGAAATCCTTCAAGATGTATCAGAAAATCCAGCCTACACTGTTACTCGATGTAACGGACATAATTGAAGATTGTAAGTATTATCGAATTACACTCGTGGCATAATCTTAATGTTCCAATAATCTTTTATTTCTAGCTCCTAGACAATGCACCGTCTGTGGAAAGCTAGCTGAGTTTGAATGCAAGGAGTGTTACGGTCAATGCGGTGTCGGTCTGGAGAGTATTGCTTTCTGTTTGCAATGCCTGGAGAAGGTAAATCAAATATAAGCCTGGTTTAAACAAGGAGCTAAGGAAGAATCTATCTTAGGTACATCGACACGAGCGGAGGACAAATCACGAACCAAAGGAACTTGTGGTCCCAATGGAATTTACCATTTTACAAGAACAGTGTCCTGTCCCGCGATTGTATCTCGAATTGTCAGCGGTGGTTTGCATCGAAACTTCCCACTACGTGTGTTTTGTGAAATGTGGTTCCGGATCGGAGGCACCGTGGTGTTTCTTTGATTCCATGGCTGATAGAAAAGGTACATATATAAATTTATACATAAACCATTTTTAATGTGTTCATTCACACAAAATGCTCTTTGATATTCAGGAGAGCAGAATGGTTACAATATTCCAGAAATGGTTCCCTGTCCGGATTTCCCGTACTGGCTAAGCGAAGAGGGAGGGAATTGCTTGACTGAATTAACAGACGACCGGAATTTACCAGAGCATGCGAAACGACTTCTGTGCGATGCATACATGTGCATGTATCAATCCCCCGACGTTATGATGTACAAATAACTTGGTTTTCCTGTTAACTTAGGTAAGTTAGATTTTAATTACTGAACAAAAATAGGCATCACGTTTGTGCTTCTTGCTTTATTTATTTGATGGTGCAGCTATAAATTTTCAAGCAAAGATTTGATCTCTCGAACTCGCATTTGTATAAAGAGCTAAAGATTAGGCAAGTTTGATTTCACGCTGTCATTGATATTTAACCCTTTTAGTACCGAACGACGATATATCGTCGAAGAGATAATCCGCCCGGCGCTCACCATGTACCTTCCAGTTATCTTTTATTTTTGTTATGCAATATTGTTTATCTTGTTACAAAATACATTGGAAATGCAAAGTATATACTTCATAATAATTGGTCCATATAAAATTATGATGAAAAGATGACTTTTGTACATGCAAATACGTTTTGTAAGAGAGAACTCTACTTTTACTATTTTTATGAACACTTATACCTTTGTCATTTATATAATTTGTAATGTGTAGAGAAAATCTAGTGTCATTGTTTTGTTCTCTATTTCATCCTCAGTACACTGCCTTTTGAATCATGTAAATATTGTTTCTCGTTTGGTTTTTATGAGCATTTTCCCAAACCCTAGTAAAACTGTGAAATTCGGCCGGTTATTCTCGCATAGGCACCTCTTTTTCGCCCGGCACAAAAAAGGGTTAAACGTGCTGAATTAATTATTACATTCGTTATTTGAATATGATTTATAAAAGTAAAAGTTGCAGCATGTTGCAATTTCGTAATTTCAATGTTTCGACACATGCCAACTCAAACTTGCCTTCCCTTGATATTGGTAAAGAGAGGAAACAGTATAAGGCTGAATTGTTTGAATCATGAATTTTATTCAAATGTTGACGGACAAACATGTAGCTCTAAGAAAACTAAATTGTTATACATAAGTTATACAAATCACCTGAAAATCACCTTTTTTAATCGGAACCTAGCGATCTAATTCGAGCATAGGGCTGATTTTAAATTCGTGAGATTATGTATACATGTATATATTTAGCATCGACGTAAAATTAAATTTTTCATTCTCTATATAGAAGTCTGATGAAAATCCATCGTACTATTATAAAATTTATATTGCACGAAGCAGTATTTCGTCAGCTTGTTTAAAATCTTAGATTGAGCGTTAATCATCTTCTCAAAACTAAGTAATATACAAAATGTAAATGTAGTTTTGTACGAAAAATTTAACGAAACATTCAGTGCGTTATACGACTGATTTTTATAGCAAAGGAGACGAACAATGCTAATAAATCTTTTATAACTTAAAAATATAATGACTAGGGTTCAGAAGCTAATGCTGCACTTTTAAATGTAATAATGCTCTAATCATTGTTTACTCCCATGTCATAGTACGAGAAATTAGATTCGTTCAAGTTTCATCATCGTAATTACGTTAATTACTTTTAAAAAGATTTAACAGATCAATTTGTTATCTGCAAGATCGACTCCGACACTTTACATCTGCTAGCGAACAAAATCTAGATAATGCTTAGACTCAGAAATTTGATTAATATATAGCAGATTTACATTATTTAAATGATATTGGATATTAATGTTTAATGTAATATATGAAAGCTATACAAACTCGCAAAAGAAATAATGCTGTTCTAGAAATTTGTTTTCCGTCGATTATAGTTGCATTTTAATGCTATGCAAAACAAACTAAGAAGCGAAACCGTATGATTTTCTATTAGACAATATTCATGAAACAATCATTCATGTAAAGAGAAATATATGACGTAATTAACACTAACTGTCATTAATAATTGGGAATATCGTTGTACATAATAAGAGAATTATGTAATAGATGAAATTAAATGTTCTCATTTCTGCCTCTGTATGGCAAAGAAAACTAATAAAGGTAATGATCAAGTTTGTAAACACGTATTATGAATTTAGTATCTGTCATCATCTTCGTCCATGGCAAAGTCACTGCCAACACCAGAATCTAATGTATAAAGGGGACTGAAAAAACGCGAAGAAGAAATAACAACAGTAATTGATATAGTCTAATTCAACGGAAGGGATGAGTTAAAGGGTTCATATAATACTTACTTTATTGCTCTGCATGGGAAAAACACAATGCGTTTTAACTTCTTATTGTAGAAGAAATAATTAAAAGACCACAAGCATCCATCCTCTCCGAATGGATCAGATGCAAAGTCTGGGTTGTAACTAAAACATTTTTACGTTTTCATTTAGTATAACGCCCAAGTTTTCTGTCTCTGTCCCTCAGATATTTACCTATAAATATCACATTCGCTCAACGATATTTCATCTTCGATGGCGGCCCAAAGCGCCGTTCGGAGAGTGCGATAATGATCTCCCGCGGTTGCACTCAGATTACTGTCTACAGCGTTCATGACCCATTGCAAGCTCGGCTCTTTACTGAATTCGTGGCTCTTGGCATCAGAAAAATCATAATCTGGATGGAAAGCTGAATTCAATGTGGCAATCAAATAGAACAGCGTTTTTCTACTGATTGTATCACATAGCGGACCATCTTCATCACCGGAAACACTGCGGCTATAGAGAAACAATAGAGATTATTAGATTTAAGAGAGATTGTTCAGAGGTATTAGCAGAGTATTATCACAAATGGAACATAGATATCTGGCGATAAAGAGTTGCGAACATATTGAAAGGGGTAATTTTTTATATTTATTGTCTTTTTACATCGTCATCGTCTGTGATTCTTAATACCTAAAATACCCTTGAGCAGGTGATGTCCCCAAGGTGGTTTGCGGTGGTGACAAAGCTTGAAGATCATGTGGAGTAAAGCCTTGTTCGGAATTGAAACGTTTATAGAGCTGCTTATCATTTCCAGCCATTTTACAGGAGTAGCTCTCTATTCTGTGGATGAAACAAAAACGGTGTTTAATGATCAATCGACAAGCTATCGAACATCGATCCTTACCTGCCTATTATTTTACTGTCTCCAGTCTTGATGGACAAAGCACTGTTTATAGCTTCGAAGCGTGTACTCTCCAGCAATTTCATCTTGTCAACATCAACAGTTTACCTTGTATGTTGTAATTCTGTAGTGTCCCTGTACTGGACGTCCTTGGTGCATCTCTCAGTGAAATGCTGTAGTCATTAATGCTCCATTACGTTAAGAGCTTTAGATGACCTTTAACGCGTTCTTTTTTCGACAAAACTTGACCTCGTTTCTCAGTCGTACGGTCAAGGTGTTCAGTGTAATCGAAATGTTGTTAGATTCGTATTACTTCGAAGACTTATTGAGTCCTTGTACATCTTTTTTAGGTATATGAAAATTCCTTTCCTTTTCGAGTGTACGAAATTAATCGTGGACGTAACGATTTTTCCCGCACTGCCGAACTTGTACATCACAGATCTCTAATTAAAGATAGTGAGACGAATCTCCCGTCCGTTTGGCCGCGTAAGCCCGATTTCAGCAATCGGCCTGCGAAAGATTGAAACCTTCACCCGTGACGAGCGTTGCCTTCTTACGCCGCACGTTTGAATGGCGTGCGAAATCTGAAGCGAAGGAAAACTGCGTAAAGGACGGCCGACTACCCTTGAGGAACGACGACGGACGCCGTTTTTTTTCTTCTCCACAGGTCGGGAACAGAAAATTGCTGGCGAACGAGCCACGAATTCGGTACCAGGATCTGATGGGTCAGGCTCGTTTATGTTCGACGGTCAGCTAAACAAAGTGACTAAAGAAATTGTGCACGTCCGCTACTGGCGAAAACAATCCATAATCACAAACATTGTTGTGTCACTATCACTCGTATTATCACCAGTATAAACACTGTCAAACGAAAACCACCCAGAATACGATGAGATTTCCTCGCAACAATCAAATCATTGGCAAACTTCAACCTTCTTCGATCCTGTTTCGCACCGTTTACCAATTATTTGCGTCTCGATGTTAGTACACTTATATGCGACAACGAGTATGTGCAATCTACGTGACAGAAATAGCACGAACGAAGCGTCTTCGGTTATCCCGCTTTGCTTTTCATTCCCTCTCCGTCGCTCTCTATGAATGCTCCCCTTGCGTTTTAGCCCCTTCGCCCATACATAGGGACATGTATGTGAACTCGGCTCGACCAATCAAAAGTACCCGATAAGTGTGTATGCGTGTGTGCATATAATTATTACAGGGACCTGAAGTGAGTCCCTCTAAGTTCTTTGAAGCCGAACGTATATAGATGTACGCGCGGATTGAATGTGTGTATCTCGGCGTATAGTAGCGTATAGTGCTACTACTCCAGTATACTCTTCCGCGTATTCGGTTAAATTCTAACCCTTGCAGAATGCTGACAGGAATTCGAATTTATTGGTAAAATGTCAAACCGTTGGGGCAGCGACTATGTGGTTACGGAGCACCGTGATTTACAGGTATATTGTGGCATATAAGAACGAGACGCGTCTCGTACAAAACACTGTGCGCTAGCGTTACGTGTCACCTACTTTAATCTTATATGTCATACTGTAAAATCGTTTCTCCGTGTTGTTAAATGTTCTTGAATATCATTATTCGTAGGCTAATACTATGGCCGTGGATGCGACTGGCAATTACGTGCTCCTTGCCGGGTATGTAATTAGGAAATAAACTGTATTCCCTATATTCTTTGGTTCCTCCTTATTTGTTTATTTATGTGTTTCAGCCGTAGATGTTTTGCGGTAAAACATCTTGACGAAGGTGCTGACACGTTGAAAAAGTTTCAGAGGCAGAGCAAGTATGAAGTGGGCTCTGCCGAATGGAACCCCACAAGTATAAACTCTCACCTATGTGCAGTATCGGTTAGAATTTAAATTTCCGTGTTTTAAACAACATTGTAGATGTGCCTAATCGAATCTCAATTATAGAGCAATACGCGTATAGAAATATTGTCACTTGTTGGAACTAACGGATATGATTTGCAAACGATAAACAGTCTAAAGGCACACACGAGAGTGGTCAGTGACTTAAATTGGCACCCTAAGGAGCCAGACATTCTTGCTTCCTGTAGCATTGACACGTTCATACACATTTGGGATATAAGAGATCAGAGAAGACCTACTCTATCTCTGTCAGCAGTTGGTAAATACAGAGATCATAGAACTTAGGAGAAAGTAGTTCGCCTGGTGTGTAAAGGAATGTTTCATTGAATTATAGCTGGCTCGTCTCAAGTAAGATGGAACACACTGTCTCCAAATATGCTGGCCACGGCTCATGATGGAGACATTAAGATATGGGATCAAAGAAAAGGAAATAGCCCCATGCAGTATATAGCTGCTCATCTAACAAAAGTACATTTTTTAAGTCAACAATCTAAAAGAGTCGTAAAATGTTCATGAATATTAGATGTGCATGCTATTTTAGATATATGGCCTGGATTGGTGCCCCTTTCAACAAAATCAATTGGCAACTTCTAGCCAAGATTGTACAGTGAAGATATTTGATATTAGTAATCCGCGTAGGGCAGAGAACATTTTGACAACAAATTCTCCAGTGTGGAGAGCTAGATACACGGTAAAAATAATACTGTTTTAATTTGAAAATAAGTTTAATTCCATGGATAAGAATATAAGTTTTCTACAGCCGTTTGGAGAAGGGCTCGTGACGATAGTTGTACCTCCATTGCGACGGGGTGAGAATAGTTTATCATTGTGGAACACAACTAATCTCAGTGCTCCTATTTATACGTTCGTCGGACATACCGATGTTGTGCTCGAGTTCCAATGGAGGCATCAAAAATTAGGTATGTGCGATGCAATTATATTTATTGATGACTATAAAATCTATTTACGATTTGTAGAAAATAGCGACTTTGAGTTAATTACTTGGTCGAAGGATCAATGTTTAAGGATATACAAAATCGATCCCTTCTTAAAAAAAGTAGGTACTTGTGCATCGAATTAAATATTGAAATGTTTAAGAATAATAAAATACATAAAATTATTCCAGTTATGTGGACACGGTATAGATGATGATACATCTATCTATACTCAGTACTCTGAAGATAATAATTTAAGTACGTACATTTCATAGGCGGCTATATTTTTCGTTTCATGGAATTAATATATTTATTTACATAGGAACGTTGCAATCCGTCCAGCAATTACAACTTAATGATGCGCAGAACGACCGTGAGATAAATTGCATAACGGCGAAAGTTGATGAACCCACGATGAACTCAGAAACAGATACATATATTGAAAATAATAAAGAAATATCGTCTCCCACGCAACCAAAGACATTACAGCAAGAATTCTCGTTAATAAATATGAACATACCTAACATAGAGGTAATGCATACAAGGCTGCAGTAATAATATCCAATATATGTACTATTCTTTACATAGGTCAATGCAATGGATGCTGTTGAACGTAGTTGCACCGTAACAGCGTCTAATAAAAGTTACAACGTGATATTAAAAGTGAACTTCCCGGCAAATTACCCCTACAGCGCGCAACCTACATTCCAGTTCTGTCCTGGAACAACCATCGACAATGCGACGATGGCAAAATTGTTAAAAGTTCTGAAGCAAACCGCGCAGCAACGCGTTAAGAAAAACAGATCGTGCTTGGAACCATGCCTCAGGCAATTAATTACAACGTTGGAGCAAGTAAAGAAGTTTGCTTCTCTGATGCATTGAACCTGTCGCATGATATATATTACATTTTTTTGCTTTATTTTAGACTTGTAAAAAAGACGAAAACGAAAGTAGTCATTTAGGATATGATATTCAAGACAACGCGAATTTCTTAAGTTCCTCAAATATGTATACAAATTATCAAGACGTCTATATACCGTTCCCTAGAACATCTGGTGCTAGATTTTGTTGTGTCGGTGGGTACAGCGAATGAAAAAATAAATCAATATCCAGTGTATTTGAAATTGTTTCAATAGGTACACTCGTTTGTTTCGGACGTGGATCGTACACGAGAAGATCATCCATGAAAGCGGAGAATACTACCCCTAGAGCACTGTCCGCATTAGGAAATGGAATAGGCAATTCGGAACGCTTCATGCATATGTATCCAAATTCTTATGTACAGTCGAACGATGATATTCCTATAAGTTCTTTCTATTTTCAAGAACGTGTACGTATCTTTCTTATAAATTGTTAGAACTATCGGGTATTATTAAAGAGCATTTTTAAATTATCAGAAGATGAATCGTGGATTACACAACGCGAACAGAATGACTCATAGATCTTGCTGCAAGAACTGTCATTTCATCGTGATGACATACGATGCCTCCTCGTTATTTTTCGTCAACAAGGAACTTGCTGAAAAATACGTGTGAGTGCGATGAACGATTTTATTCACTGATATTAATTTACAGGCACGATCTCTTATTTTTATACTTTTTCATTTAGCATCAATATCACCGATATTCCAGCGATGTGTCAATACAACGCGAACGTTGCTGCGTCGCTAGAGCGTCCTGATTTGGTACAGGCATGGTGTTTAGCCGCTCTTGTAATATCGCAACCAGTTTCGAATATTGGTCATAATTCCTGTGCCTCGCCTGAGATCGACGCTCCGTGGCCTTTACATCCTTTTGGCCAAAATTTAATTCATTCCTTGTGAGTACATCATTTAAGCGCTGCGTTTCAGTTCGTGTTTAATTATCGTCTTGAATTTTAGAATACAGCACTATGCCAATCAATCGGATATTCAAATGGCAGGTATGCTGAGCTGTGCATTTAGTTACCGTTCAGAAAATTCCGACGTTCAGTCGAGGCTGAACAGCAAGTCCATTAACATTAGTGTAAGTATACACTGAGTATATTAGGTGGTTTTTAAAACGTTTCGGCACAGCTTGGCATAGGCACTATACTTAACGCCGCATTGACAGTTGATACAATTGATGTCTTGATCATATTTTGTCTTCTGTTCTTAATCATACACGGGAGAAATAACTCTCTCGGCATTATCTATTCGTACCACCGTTTCGTATCGACATTGGCTTTCACTCGAACTGCAGTATATCACATCTTTTATATACTTGCATGTGTTTATTTCCTCCGATGCATGACTAAATACGATTTGAGTGTATAGCTATTTTTCACATTACGACGGTACCGTTAAAGCGAATCTTTAGTGATCTAAACATTTCAATGGGTCGTAATCTACCGGCATAATGTTATACCTCTTTTCATTATTTTTACGTAGTTAACATTTTTAAATATTTTGAGCAATTTGTCAAATGATTGATATCGTATTATCTCTGTTATAGAGGCTTTCCACAGGAAAATGGTGGTTGAAGGTAAGGCATGTGTGTGTGTGTGTGTGTGTGTGTGTGTGTGTGTGGTCTCCGAATTTCATAAATTTCTGCGTGTTTAAAGTTGCATTGGTTTTGGGGATTTTCTCTTATCGTGATGATATTTGTTACTGCCTTACAGCATCGGAGTGGAAGTATCGTGATGCCAGAAAGCATGCAGGTTCGGCCATGCTTGATACATAAAAATGGCAAAGTTCGATCTTTGCGTCTGTGATATTCGTCTTATGTATTCTCATTAATTTACCACAAGTTGTATATGCGATATCAGTAGCAATTAACCATATGTGATGTACTGTTTGTTGTGATAATATCTAAAACATATTCACACAGAAGACAAAGACCTTTGTGTGCAGGAAGTGATCATAGACATTTATGTCCTTAATATTTGTCAATCGTCTATATTATGTTCGTATCATGCAACCACTATTATTCGATTGAATTTTAATTATCCCTTTTCAGCCTGGCGGCTCTCCATATCATACGATTCATCTAGCTGACACTACGCTGGAAGGATGGAACTTTCAAAATTTGAAGCAACATCGATCTAACTCATGGTCCGATTCTCTGGACGATTTAAAGTTAATTCAAGACACCTTCGGTGACTCTGCGAGAAGTATTAGGTACGCTATAAGAAGATTAATAAAAGAAGCGTTTAGATCAAAAGGCTAATTTACTGATCACGCAGGTTGCTCGACGAAAAATATACTGCTCTCTACGATGGTTATAAAAAGGCATACGCCGAGGTGTTACACAGATGGCGATTATTAGATGCGCGTGCACAAGTATTAAAACATGTCAGCACAACTCCTTTAGATACCCACAAGGGTGTGGAATTCCAAAGCGAATGTCAGCTGTGCGGAAAACAAAGCAGAGGACCTCAGTGTATAAATTGTAAACGATTAGCTTTAGAATGTGTGATTTGTCATATCTCTGTGAGAGGTGAGTACAATAGGATCGCTACTGACGATAATAATTTTTAATTTCTTAGATTTATACTATTACTTTTTTTACATTAAGGCCCAAGCAACTTCTGTATATTTTGTGGCCATGGAGGGCACACGCAACACTTGGCGACATGGTTTGCTAATGAAAAATTGTGTCCCACAGGCTGTGGATGTTGTTGCCTGCAGGAGAGTTCAATTCTTCTAAAGTTGTAAATAATAAGAAAATAATGTACATAAAACGCAGAGATATATATATATATAACGAATGTTGCGAGAGGATAATAGATACGTTTTTCTGTAAGAGATCATCATCCTTCTATGAATGTTAATTCAGTTTCTAATTCATTTGTGCTGGGGAACATTTCCTCGGGTAAGATCTCTATCTCTTCGGTCATTCTTGTACCGACTTCATTCTCTACTTTAGTTTCTTTCTCGGATGTTCCAAGGAATATATCTTCCAATTCTTTTAACTCAGCTATGAATAAGATAAAAACTGACGAACATACCTTGTTGAACGTCATGAAAAATAAATATACCAGTATTGCGGCGAAGTTTTTCTTCCCGAAGATACGCTTCTCTGGCAGGTCTTTCTGCCTCTTCTTTTTCTCGTTTGGCTGTCTCCATCGCTGCGTACATCCTTCGTTTTTTAAAACCATAAACCACGCCGTAGATCAAGCAGGTCCATCTCATCAGCTAACAGTTCAAATTTCAAGTATAACAAAGGAACTAGTTCCTTTTAAAATGAAATATTACCTTTATTAAAGGACTAACTTTCAGTGGAGCTAAACAAACTTTCTTTTCTGCCATCTGTACAAAATTTATTCATGTACAATATAAATCCTATTTAAAATAACACTCAAAGTGTTGAAAAGGGTACAAATATCCAGTCTCTGTTCTTCCTGATATATCGCCAAGTTGTATGCAACGTCAGAAACAGTTGAACAACAAATGAAAAGACAATCTATGATTATGCACTGTCGCAACTATGTTGCGTTCATGGTACAAAAAAAGAAACCAAGTACGTAGAAGCCATCGAATTATTAACAAACTAATTACAAATTAATATCGATAATGATCAGCTTTGTAAGGTCCTTCCACGGGTACGCCAAGATATTTAGATTGCTCCTCCGTCAACTTGGTCAGTTTCACGCCGAGGTGACCTAAATGTAACGCAGCGACTTCCTCGTCCAATTTCTTCGGTAGCATGTGAACCCCTATCGGATACGACCCAGACTTTGTCCATAACTCTATCTGCGCCAAGACTTGATTTGTAAACGAATTGCTCATAACGAAGCTGGAGTGTCCCGTAGCGCAGCCAAGGTTAACTAAACGACCCTCCGCAAGCAGGATAATGTGTCTGCAGAGAACCAAAAGTGAAACTATTTATTAAAGAATCCATTTATATTTGAAATGGTTTCGTCAATTCACCTGTTATTCTTCAATGTGTATCTGTCCACTTGCGGTTTAATGTTAACTTTCTCAACAGCATTCTTCTCCAGCCAGGCAACGTCGATTTCACAGTCGAAATGACCGATGTTACAGACGATAGCGTCCTCCGGCATATTAAGAAAATGTGGTCCCAATATAATATCTTTGCAACCCGTGGTAGTGACGTATATCTGTCCCTTGACTGATGCTTCTTCCATTGTCGTCACCTGGATAATGCGATTAGGAATTTACGATTTTAAACCAAGGCCTATTTTAATATATCCGTTTCAATAATCACCTCGTATCCTTCCATGGCAGCTTGTAACGCATTAATAGGATCGATCTCAGTGATTATCACGCGCCCCCCAAGTGCTCTGAGACTCTGAGCGCATCCTTTTCCTACATCCCCGTATCCAGCGACCACGCAGACCTTCCCAGCAATCATGACATCTGTTGCTCGCTTGATACCATCGATTAACGACTCTCTACATCCGTATAAATTATCAAACTTACTCTGTTTAAAAAGAAAGAATTGTGATAAGGCTCAAAATTATAAAGATCACTTTCTTTTCCTCGTTTTTGAAACTCAATACTACGAACCTTCGTTACCGAATCGTTTACGTTTATCGCTGGTACCTTTAAGGTACCCTCTTTCATCATGCGATATAAGTTATGAACACCGGTTGTAGTTTCTTCGGAGAGGCCTCGGCATTCTTTGAGGTACTCCGGGAATTTATTATGTACCAAGTTAGTTAAGTCACCACCGTCATCGAGAATCAGGTTCAATGGCTTGTCATCCTTAAATACTAGCGTTTGCTGTATACACCAGAGGTATTCCTCGTCGGTCTCTCCTTTCCAAGCGTACACCGGAACTCCAGTTTTCGCGATAGCTGCGGCTGCATGATCTTGCGTGCTGAATATATTACACGACGACCACTGGACCTATCGATACAGGAACGAATAAGAAATACCGAAAGTAATGTTTGCGTCATGCATTTCTTATTATGTGCATTTAAATAAATATGAAAATGTTTTTGTAGAAGGAAAGCAAGAATCAGTTTCGTCTTATCTGATCACGATCTTCGTTATTCGAGAGCTTGTTCGATGTCTGATACAATTGTTGACGAATCTTACGACAGATGCAGGGTCACGATCTCTTAGATAAGCTCTAACATAAGCATTACACTGGTTTTCATCATTCTATTTTATAAATTTGATATTTTGTACTGTTTGTCATATCGCGTTACTATTTTAATAATCGTAAAAGCAGTTTTAGCATACAGAAGTTACGATTTCACTTTGAAACTCGATAAAGCCGGGTGCCGAATTTCATTTACCTCAGCCCCGAGTTCAACAAGCGTTTCGATAAGAACCGCGGTTTGCACCGTCATGTGCAAACAGCCGGCAATCCGTGCGCCTTTCAAAATCTTCTCAGGACCATATTTCTTCCTGATTGCCATGAGCCCTGGCATCTCGTGTTCCGCCAGCGTGATTTCCTTCCGTCCCCATTCCGCCAACGATAAATCGGCTAAATATAATACCAATTGATTTTATTCAGTAAAATTACATGAGATAAATCGTTGCTTCAATTCACGTGAACTTCCTGGCACCGTCAATTACGATACAATTGAATGCATGCATAAGTATCGTTTACATATTGTAATCAAGTTTGATCAATAACGATTTTATTTCTTAAGAAGCTTTTTAATTATTTTTTGTAAGTGTATCAAGAAGCTTATAAATATCATAGAACTAGGTTACCAATTTTTTTACAGAAAAACGAACCACGTGTCTGTATAATAAAGCGTCCTAGAAATTACGATTCTGTGACTTACCAACTTTAAATGCAGGCTTGGACATTCTTGGCAATTGAAGAAGAATTAGTAGAGAAGGTACGTGTTTAAATCGTAAATTCGAATCGGTGAACAAAAGACGATCGTCCGGGTACGTTAGCGTTCGTTTCCGCCGGCGAACTGCGGCGAACTGCGCACCACTGGACACAACGATACGACCACACACAATTGCGGTGATATGTGAAACTTGAACCGGCGCGAACCTCAACAACTCAACAGCCTGTGCCCTGAGCTTGAACCAGCCATATATTTTAAAAGATTTCACCTCCAGCAGGGTTCGCTGTTGCACTAATTAGCTCAGGAGAATCGGATCATGATTTCGCGATCAGTCCACAGTCGTCCAGATCGGGCAGTGTGTGTTCAGTTCAGTTTTGTTTAGTCTTCCAAGCGAATGAGCTCCGGATTCCATACATGCTACGCAAGCACATTTTCGTAAGCCTTACGAACTACTGAAATCGGTTACAGACATTTGTTTTGTATAAATAAACTATAAGTAAGTGAATCTCTCATATTAATTAGAAATTAACATATTTTACGCAATCTTTTGGTATTAACTGAGGATTTATAGTACGTAAAATTACATGAGATAAATTAAAAGTTTCAAATGTGATATGTTTAATTGCATCTATGTGATTGAACATATTTTACATAGTAATATATGTATGTTGGGTACCGATGATATTGTTTAATTGACACGTTAATTAAAAGTAAATGATCATTCTGGTGAACTATCGGTATCCGGGATACACGTGTGTCGTATGAAAATGCTGTTCTCTACAAATTCTCTTTATTACATTTTTCGTTATTTAAAGAATATATAACTTTTATATAATTGTACGAAAATTATTTAAACTGTTCAACGTTTAGAACAAGGCTCCACTTTTTGCGATAGAGTGGAGAAAAAAGTGATCTTCATAATACCTTCATAAAAAATGTGTTTATATTCCGGGCCTTATATACGTTTACATTTCTTAAATTGGTGGTTTCTATTATTTTAAATTCTAATTACTTATTAACGTTTAAGTATTAAGGGATAGAAATTATTTTCCGAAAGATAAAATTATTCTCGTACAGATATTATATCTTAATTTACAGAAAAATGATGCCTATTGAGACCAGTATAACTTGTCCATTCGACAAGACTCATAACATTTTAAAACACAAAATGCAGACTCATTTATATAAATGTAAGAGAAATTATCCAGGACAGAAAGTTACATGCGTCTTTGATTCGAGTCATTTGTTGGATCCTGAAGAATGGCAGGTATGTTGGAACATTTACACAAATTATATTTTAACCGGAAGTATTGAAATATGATATTCAAGACATGAAGTAGCTAGTGAGATATATTAAAAGATAATAGAGTTTATTGCTGCTTTAAGTCATCTTTGTCAATTCTATTTTTACAGCATCATTTTATGACGTGCCCGAGCAGTGGCTGCATAAAACGTCACGAAATGAATTTCGAACAACCACAGCAAGTGGGAACAGTTCCTTTAGAAGAAGTATGTAGCATTGCACCGGTTGTAGAGTCTGCCGATACTGATGATTGGAATGGAAGTTATCCATCGTATGATCCTGTGGCTCAATCGGAGAATAAAAGCGTATTTAGAGTGCAAGTTGGCTTGTCAAAAGCGAAAAAGCGTGAATATAAATACCAGGAAAGGGAAAGATTAGACGCATTAGAAAAAAATGAAATCGGAGAATGCCGTGTCAGTACTTCAGAAGAAGCAGAATCCGATCCCTATCAACCAATACGGGGACTTAAAAACGTACCAGAAATAGATGACAAGGATTTCATTAACAATCTTTTACTAAAACCAGTAAATCGATCTGCGCAGGAGTCTCAGGAGTTACCGAAATCAAAGCAAGTTGGCAACGAAGGTTTCAAGAAACAACTTATACAGAAACTGAGAAATATTGCTATTAAAGACGATAGTGACGAGAAAGAAAATAACTCGAATAACAGTACCATGACGAGTACCGCTCACGAGGATTGTTTAAAAATTGAGATCCCAGACGGAAGTGAAGTCTCCCTAATGACACCATGTACCGGAACAGGTGACGTTTCAATATCCGAAGAGGCTTGTAACCTCACATGGGCTAGTTCGCAATCTGGAAGAAGTTATGCACCGAAACATTCGAAGAAGCCCGGTCCTCGAAAACCACTTCCTAGACTCCCTCAGAATTTTTCTGGAGAAATCGGAAAGTTTACTATTGGGAGAGGATGTGTTTTACGATCAGCTAAATTACAAAATCAAGGATTGAACACAAAGGAGGACGACGAAAAGCAGAAGGAACTTTATTCTCTCCGTGACTACGACGAAAAAGACGTTGATACAGATACAGATGAATGATTTCTTCCTATTGTACGTTATCATAGTTTACACTATGTGTTATAGCTACATGTTGTACTTAGCAAGAAGAATAGTAGGATATACAACAATGATGATGATTCTTCTAACATTGACAGGAGAGAAGATTGAAGACATTTAAGTGAAGTATCGTCTAAAAAGGAATTTCTTATTTCTTATGACCTCTGTAACATTCTTAGATAAAAGATAGACGCGTGATAGACTCGTTTTTAATTAAATATATAAACTATATTTTTACTTTATATTTGTACATGACTCACAGTTTTGTAATTAACTTTATTACGTTCTAAATTTGTTAATGATAAAGAGACGAACATTGAACAAATACAGTGATACTATTAATCATTGCGTATATAGACGATACAATTTATTTGATGTTGCATATAGGATGAATTAATAAATGACATTTTACGTATCTGTGCTTACTAAAAGAATAATACCATGCCCTTAGGATCGAAATCGGGGACAAAATGATCGTAATTATAACAACACGCGAACATTCTTAGCAATCGTGATACGTTACCATACGTTACTGTTCAAATTCAAATATAGTATAGCGTGAAGATGGGCGCACGTGGATGTATATAAATGAACGGTTTACCTGCAGTTTGCCTTCCGTTGCGTGTGTGTCTTTTGATGCCTTTGTGTATGGAATGGCGTAGGGGTATAGACCATGGTATAGACACAGTTCGGTAGAAACATAAGTGAGGAGTGAGGGCATAAAATAATAGTTTTTGTTGAAATTTCGGCAGTTAAATGTCGGACAAACGAGGAGCAACAACATCAACGATAATATATGCGACGTCCGACTAAATTTTTATCGCAACATACGTGAACAAACTTTTGTTAACCACCGATAGACGGGCTCTCTGCGAGGTTTTCGTTTGCCGACGCTTCGCCGTGTTTTTCATTATTCTGTTGCAGGTAAACAGATTTACGATGAGTTAGGGGTTAAGATTCCTCGAAAAATTTACCCCGCGACGTTGATTTTGTAACATTTTCGTTGGGAATGGCTGTTTTCCATTAACGGGCTTTGTATACGTGAGTAGGCATCTCACATTCCATCAGATTGAGAAAATGTTTTCCCGCCATATTAGTAAGATCCCTTTCGGGTACAGTATTTAATAACAGCTATTTTTTTATTATTCATTGGAGTTTCATTGCTCGCGATTCTGTCATGCCTATATTAGTATTTATATCGTTTGTATTAATTTTATGGTATTCGTAGCTACGTATTCTCTATGTCGAACCTATGTTTTATTTAACATTCATCATGCAGTGGCTACACGAAATATTTACTCGTATTGAAGTTTTTTCTATTACCCGTGTGTAAATTGGTTCACTAAATGCATTCATCCAAGATTATTAATTCTATGATTTAATGATACATTCATTTAATCATGCATACATTCATTCAGAGGCTAAACCTTTATGCAAAATGAATCCCTTTTATGTTATATTTGCAGTCCTTTTCTTTTACATTTTTCAGTTATATAAACAAACGGATAAAAATGAGTGAAACGATGGAGAATGGGAGTGGGTTGAACCCATCCAAAAAGCAGAAAACCATCGAGGGTATATACCAAAAGAAATCGCAGTTGGAACATATATTACTGCGACCCGATACTTACATCGGTTCAGTGGAACCAGTGACCGAGTTGATGTGGGTCTATGATAAACAGAAGGAAGCAATGGTACAAAGGGAGATCAAATTCGTGCCGGGTTTATACAAGATATTCGATGAGATCTTGGTGAACGCTGCAGATAACAAGCAGAGAGATCCAAAAATGGATATGATTAAAATTGAAATTAATGCAGAGGATAATATTATATCCGTGTGGAACAATGGTAAAGGCATTCCAGTGGTGATCCACAAAGAGGAAAATATGTTCGTTCCGACGATGATATTCGGTCATTTGCTGACGTCGTCTAATTACGATGACGAGGAGGAGAAAGTGACGGGCGGTAGAAACGGCTACGGTGCCAAATTGTGTAACATTTTCAGTCGCCGTTTTACTGTAGAGACCGCGTCCAAAGAGTACAAGAAATGTTTGAAACAAACGTGGAGCAATAACATGGGAAGCGCGAGTGAGCCTCGGATCAAAGAGTTCAGCGGCGAGGATTTCACGAAGGTGATATTCTCGCCGGATCTCACCAAATTCAGGATGGAACGTCTGGACGATGACATAGTTGCCCTTATGTCGCGCAGGGCGTTCGATGTAGCCGCCTCGACGAGGGGCGTCAAGGTTTACCTGAACGGTGACAAGATCCCTGTGAAGAATTTCAAAGATTACGTCGACTTCTACATAAAAGACAAAGACGATGAGACGGGCAATCCATTGAAAGTAATTTATGAGATGTCAGGACCGCGATGGGAGGTGGCTATCACGATGTCTGACAAAGGTTTTCAACAAATGTCGTTCGTGAACAGTATCGCGACGACGAAGGGTGGCCGACACGTCGATCACGTTACCGACATGATAGTTAAACAGTTAACAGAGATCCTGAAGAGGAAGAACAAGTCCGGTTTAACCATTAGACCGTTCCAAATAAAGAATTATTTATGGGTGTTTATCAATTGTCTCATCAATAATCCAACGTTCGACTCGCAAACCAAGGAGAACATGACGTTGCAGTCGAAGAATTTCGGATCAAAGTGTACGCTTAGCGAGAAGTTCTTTACCTCAGTGACGAAAATGGGGATTGTCGAGGCCGTATTGTCATACGCAAAATTCAAAGCTGACACTCAGTTACAAAAATTGGGACCTAAGTCAAAGCAAAGGAAGCTACAAGGTATACCGAAATTGGAAGATGCGAACGACGCAGGTACCGGGAAATCCTTAGATTGCACGCTGATATTGACTGAGGGAGATTCAGCGAAGACCATGGCCGTATCCGGTTTGGCGTCTATAGGCAGAGACAAATACGGTATATTCCCTCTGAGGGGTAAAATTCTGAATGTGAGAGAGGCTACGCACAAACAGATATTGGAGAACGCGGAGATTAATAATTTGATAAAGATCCTCGGTCTCCAGTACAAAAAGAAGTACGAAACGCGGGAAGATCTAAAGACGTTGCGGTATGGGAAGTTGATGATAATGACCGATCAGGATCAGGACGGCTCGCATATCAAAGGATTATTAATCAATTTTATTCATCATAATTGGCCGACGTTGTTAAGACTCAATTTTGTCGAAGAGTTCATTACACCTATCGTCAAAGCTTCGAAAGGGAGTCAAGTGCTCAGTTTCTTTTCCATGCCGGAATTCAGTAAATGGAAATCAGAGACTGAAAATTATCATACGTACAAGATAAAGTACTACAAAGGTTTGGGTACGTCCACCGCCAAAGAGGCGAAGGAGTACTTCGAGAACATGACCAGGCATAGGATTCGGTTTAGATACGAGGGCGAGCAAGACGATCAGAATATAATAATGGCGTTTAGTAAGAAATGCGTCGATCAACGAAAGGAGTGGTTAATGAATTACATGGACGAGACCAAGAGGAGAAAGGAGATCGGGCTCGGTGAACGTTTTTTGTACGAGAAGGACACACGCGTAGTTTCATTCTCTGATTTCATCAACGTGGAGCTGGTACTCTTCAGCAATTACGACAACGTCCGATCCATACCGAATATGATGGACGGTTTCAAACCCGGGCAAAGGAAAGTGTTATACACTTGCTTGAAGCGTAACGATAAACGCGAGGTGAAGGTGGCTCAATTGGCTGGCTCCGTGGCCGAACATTCCGCTTATCATCACGGCGAAATTTCCCTCATGTCGACTATCATTAATCTCGCTCAGAACTTCGTGGGAAGCAACAACATCAATTTGCTACAACCCATTGGTCAGTTTGGTACCAGGTTAACGGGAGGAAAGGATGCTGCGAGTCCTCGTTATATCTTCACAATGCTCAGGTAGATATAAGAGTCTATTGTCGCATCGTGTCCACAGGAATATGAAGTGGAACTTTAATTTGCTTTATCTTTACAGTCCGCTCGCGAGGTACATATTTCACAAACACGACGATGCTCTGCTGAAACACGAGTACGATGATAATCAAAAAATTGAGCCAGTCTTCTATGTACCGACGATACCTATGGTTCTGGTGAACGGCGCCGATGGTATTGGTACCGGATGGATGACAAAGATTCCGAATTACAATCCTAGAGAGATCATTGAAAACTTGTACAGAATGATGGACGGTGCCGATCCGAAACCAATGGTAACACCATTGGATTCTGTGAGATAATTTAATGTACTTGTTATATACATATCATACTTATATTTTTATATTACTTCAGATGCCATATTATAAAAACTTCAAAGGCGTGATAGAAAATTGTGGAGACTACAGATACGTCACTAACGGTGAAATATCGGTAATAGGACCTGATAAAGTTGAGATCACTGAACTTCCAGTGGGAGTTTGGACTCAGACATACAAGGAAACCGTTTTAGAGCCGATGTTGCATGGAACTGAAAAATCTCCAGCTATTATCACGTAATTACGATTATTGTTTATGTATTATCATTATTATATGCAGACTGAGTCACTAAGAAGGAGTCGTCTAAAATTGTTCACCACCTTTAATGATTATATAATTAATTACAGAGATTACAAAGAATACAATACAGACACGGCTGTACACTTTATAATAATTATGAACCGTGATAAATTGGCGGAATTGGAGAGGGACGGTCTCCACAAGGCGTTTAAATTGCAATCGGTCACCACAGTTACGAATATGGTAAGTAGTAACATTCCATATTCAACTTCCGTGACATGTACAAGTGATTCGTTTCTGTTCCAGTGCGCGTTTGATGAGAATCAATGTCTACGAAAGTACGACAACGTTACCCAGATAATGAGAGGTTTTTATAAAGCTAGACTGGAGATGTATCATAAAAGGAAAGACTACTTGGAGGGTATCTTGAAAGCCGAGGCGTCGAAACTGTCGAATCAAGCTAGGTTCATTTTGGAGAAGTGCGACGGCACACTAGTCATTGAGAATAAGAAGAAAAAGGATATGATAGCGGAATTAGTTAGACGGGAGTACGATTCCGATCCGGTAACGGCTTGGAAGTTAGCGCAGAACAGGGAAGAAGTATTGGTAAGTAAAAATATATAGATAATTTTTTTTATTCATTCAAAAACCAAACATCTAAAGAACTTGTATACGAGTCTGCTTAATTTTGCTCCCCTCATTCACGTTAGGAGACTCAAGTAAGTGACACGTGTTGGCAAATAAAAATTTTTTAGGAACTATTTTAATATGCATTTGTATATTGGATTGATGTCTATGCAACTTCTAAAACGTGTTAAATATTATTAATACATAGGACGACGTAGCAGAGGACGAAAACGGTGAAGTAGTTACTACCAACGCTATGGCTAGGGAAAACTTCGACTACCTACTGGGAATGACGTTATGGAGCTTGACCAAGGAAAGAAAGGATGAATTGTTACGTAACAGGGATGAGAAAATAGCCGAACTGAAAAGACTACAAGCGAAGACACCGATGTCACTGTGGAAAGACGATTTACAGCAGTTATTAGATAAATTAAACGATGTAAGTGATAATTTTTTACGTATGTTTATAGAAAAAACACTTCTCCATTTTTCGTATTTATTTTATTTTATTCTACAGATCGAAGAGAAAGAACAGAAGGAAGAGCTCAAGTCGAGGATGAATATAAAGAAACCACCAGTCAAATTTTATAATACTGATGATGTCCGTCGCATCGAACCAATAATCGATACAGAACTGAAAAAGAAGATCGACAAAGCAAACATCGCCTCTAAGGATAAGAAAGAAGGAATTAAAAGGCAAAAAATAAAGAAAGAGCCAACAGATGAAAAAGACGAATTCGATCTATTGGCCGATGCGAACAATAAGCCCTTGGAGGATCGACTTCTTTCCCCAGATAAGAAACCGGCTATCAAGAGGAGTAAGTATACGTGTACATGCACGGAGAGTAAAGCCTTCTTCTGCTGCATACACGATGCTGTTAACTTTTGGTTTATTCTGTACGCAATTCTTTTAAATTCACGTTATTTTCGTGATTGAAATGAGACATCATGTTTAATTAGAATTGAAGCAAGGAACGTTGCCTTTCAAATCAAAGGGTGGGAAGAAGGGCGATAAAAAGAAGGATAAAGGTTCAGGCAGTGAACAAGAGGACATTAACTTCGACAGCATATCTCCTCCCCCTGAACCACGGGCATTGCGCAAAACCGCTGGTATGCATCATATTTTATTCTAAATGTACGAAAGAAATTCAAAATGTCGAATTTACGTGTAATAATAAGGTACGCGGTGCCCGACGGCAATGCTGCCCCCTGACGGGCCTCAAACTTGCCTTCGGGCCGCTACCGCGCCCCTTGATAATAGTTGTCATCTCTATCGCTACGTGTTATCTCGTTACAGTTAAAAAGAATTACACCTTGAGCGACGAATCTTCCTCCGATGCTCTTAACGTTAACTCGGACGTAGAAGAGTAAGTAACATTTGTAACTCGTAGGATATTAAATATATATGCGTAGAATCTTAAAATCTCCCCATTTTTATTTCCTTAGAGACATCAAACCTAACATCAGTAGTGACGCCGACGATGTTTTGAGAGTGTCCAAGAAACGTAAGTAAATATTTTACACGATGCATTATTAACTGAATTAATCGTTCATTTCTTTGGTACAACAGCCAGTTCAGAAGAACTGTTCGACTCTCTAGTCAGCAGCACGCCAGAGAAACAGAAAATCCCAATCGTGTCTAGTGATTCTTCGAACGTGTTCTCGCCTCCAGCGAAATGTAAGATTGCAAAACTTAAAAGTGTATAATGACAGTATTTATATGTTGAATACAATTTTAAAGCGCCCGTCAAGAAAAAGACAGAGAACGGAGGCAAAGGTACGAAAAGACCGAAGAAAAAGACGATCATGTCCGATTCCGACTCTGATGAATACACGTTCCCAAGCAAATCAGCGAACGTAAGTAAACATTTAATTCCATAAAAACCATAGGCACACTCCGTATGTTATTATATACTGTATATTGTAGTTAAAAAAGAAGAAGAAGAAGATCGAATCGGAGGACGACAGTTCGTTGAGTATCATAGAAAGCTCACCAGTACAAGCAGCACCAGTGCGAAAACGAGCTGGTCGTGCTCGGAAACCCATTTCGTACGCTGTAAAATCAGAGGACGATGATAGTGACAAGGACTCAAATTAAATGATACTATCATGTAGAATAGACGAATAGACAGCTGAAGAAAAGAGAACGTGCAAGTCAGTGAGTGAATCTCCGGAAATTTTTATCGCAGTATTTCTATTAATTCTTTAAATCGTTCAGATTATCGATAAATCTAATTTCATATTTCTTTTAATTGATGACTCAATCGATTTTGTGTGATCTCATGTTGTATAATACATTTGCATCGTTCGGTAAGTGTCGCAGGACATTCTGCTACTTAGTGCAAATGGCTTAGGGTCTTTCCCCCCTTTTTTTTAACTTGTTCATACAGGTTCACTACCGGCCACAAGTTTGGAATTGAATAAAATATTGTGCCCATGTCTATAAATAAAATTGTCCAATGAATGAATTGGACATAAATTTTAATTACGTGTGACTCAAATGTAATTTTGAGTCTCGACTCAAGTAATTAATTAAAGAATCGAATGATTTCCAACTTTTGACCGATAGCTTAAACCCTTTCCCCGGGATATTATCGTAAAACTTAAGCTAGCAATTTTTTATGATATATATGTGTACATAATTAGACTAGTTAACATACTTTTTTAAAAAGGAGAATTTACAATTTCTCTACGACATATTATAAGTAACGATGAAGCGATAAATGATACACTACCGGCCGAAAGTTTGTCTGTCGTTCGCATATATATCAAGAAAAAGAAAGAATCCAATTCTGTGGAAAGATTGTACAAAATTCTATTTATAAAGTACGATAAGTTTCCTATTAATATTTGCAGTATTAAGAAACATGTAATCCATAATAATAATAGTAATTATCTAATAAGCATTGTATACGTATATAACCACGAAAGTGATCAACTTTTGGATGGTAGTGTACGATTTTTATTAGCAATTATAGTGCAACTACAATTGTTACACGTGCGTACACACGCGATTTTCAATTAAGGTATCGATTATTATAATTCTTTTGTACGGATAAACTGTCCAAATTGTTCATGTATTTAAATTAATCTCGGATTCAAGAATATCACTTTTACGTACCCTTAAATTCTTCATCGTAAAAGACGAAGACTTCAACATATAAATTGTTTTGTAAAAAAATTTTAATAAAATAACATATTTTTTCACACGTTAGAAGGATTCATACAATATTCGTTGTCCTCTTCTGTTTAATGTTTTACGACCTGTTCTTATTTTTATCGAGTGAACTAAATTTCAATATGAAAAAAACGTATTTTCTACAAAAAGAGTGGACTCATTTTTATTGTATCATAAACTTTAATGTTAAAAGAAGTAGGTTCCGGCATTGGACGTCACTGCATCGTATACGAAAGTATTATGGAGAGGTTTATATTGATTCGTGACGAATTTGATTACTTCCTGAGCTGCGAGGCCACCCAAGAACGCCGAGACCGAGTGCAGCTCTGATCCTCCAAATCGGCAGAATTCATGAACGTAATCGTCCTTAGCCAGTGGTCCGCAACCCCATTCATTTAACAATTTCGTTATACACGCCTACGGAAGAGAGGTGAATGTTGAAAACTAGAAATATCAACAATAAATCATAAATACGTGCCTTCAGTTTTACTATGTCAGGCTCCACTTGATCATCAAACTCGCCGGGATAGGAATTGTACTCTGACTGAAATTTTTCAACTCCCCTCAGGACAACGTAATAAACCATCATACTCTCAGGATTCTCCAAACTTTGCACTGTGTACAAAAAATCAGGTTCAAACTCCACTTTCATCCTTGTTTCAGTAATGTTCATACCTATGTTGCTAGCATCGAAAATTTTCGAATCGTATTCGTCGGCTATACAAGTTCCCCTCTCCACGTATATGTTCGATGCATGTCTGCAGAACAATCTGACGTCTCTTTCTGATATAATATCCGACGATTTTCCTAATTGTCGCAATAATTGCAACGTGCGCCGCCACACTGCCTCCGCGTCAGCCACCGCTTGCCTGTGATAACTGCAACGAAATCAAACGTCTAACACAAGTCTTTAATAGAAAAAAATATTAAATTCTTACATCTGCTGAAGCGCTATGTATTTTTCTGTATCCGCTGTCATATCCGGTAAAGTTCCCTTCAACGGCAACAATCCAGCTCCTTCGTTCTCAACAAAATCTCTAACCGCCTTTGCTATTATCCAGAATGGGCTACTCTGAGAATATGTATAATCACGTCGGTTTTTGAGTTATAAAATGAAGAATAAAATGTTCCTTTCTTCCTACCTTCGCCGTCAAGTTGATACACTGGTCGCTGTTAAGGATACTCATCACGTTCTCCGGTATAGCGGTGCACCCTAAGCATGTATTTACAGACTTAATAGCCTCTTCGAAATTCTCTTCACTGTTCGCTTTATCATTTTCGTCTCTCCTCATTCCCTCTCTGATCATCTGTTTCAATTGATTCTTCTCTTTATACGCTCTGGGTAACTGTCCTTTTTCAGAGACCCATTTCTCTAAGTATTTGTACAGTACAACTAAATAAGGTACATGCGAATGATCTTTGAAACTCAACTCGTCTAGGTTTATCGAATCGAAATGTTTTTTTAACGCTTCGAACGGTTTATCCAGACGCAAGTCAAGGATCTCGTTGTCTGGATGGGATTCTATGATCGTATGCTCCTTCACTTGTATCCTCATATATGCGATGAATCCTATGCTTCTGCACACTATCAGTGGTATGTTCAATTCCCAGAGCCGACGCGACAACAGGATCAAAGATCTGTAAATCATTTTCAGAGTTTTATTCTGCATAAAAATCCACAGCCTATTCTCTTACTTTTCAACCAGCGAGGTAGCCACTACTACAGTGAAGTTGTTGAAGAAATCAGGATTGTTAGACAAGATCTGTTCAGGCTCCTCGTCTATATAATCACCCCTTACGTCTGAATTCAGTTCCAAGAGCATCTGTGTTGCCACTTGTGCTCTAGACTTGCCCGCACTATCTGCTTCTAGAAAGAAACTATTGATATTTGTTTAACAAATGTATAAGCATGTCCAATGAATTGATTTAAGTACTTCTGTGTATAATCCACACACCTTGTGCCAATATCTTCCTCACTGACTTTCTTCCCATCTACGATAGTAAATGCTCCTATGCCAGGTAAAACAAGAGATTTCAGGATTTCTGTGCCAATGCCTGTGGCATTTATCAAGCAAACGTGGGCCCTTTCTAAAGCTGCCTGACCATGATCACCCCATAATCTGTGAGATGTCATAAATAAAAGTTAATTGCGACAGGTAGAACACGGTCCATTGTAAAGGTAGAAGTTTGGACCATGAGATTTGCTTGATCGATGTGGTGATTTCTAAACGTGGTTTTTAAATTTCTTCGTAATATCTTTTAGTTTGTTAGAATATAAAAATAAATCGTTTCAATAACAGAACGCAGGGCTATGAGAATCTGTACCTGAGTTGCCTGTCGTATTTTCTATTCCTCTCGGATTGCTCCGGCGATTTCGGGGCCGGTGATGCCATCGTAGAACCCGTTTATTTCTATTTGTGTATTTAAGAAAAATATCTTTTTAACAACAATTGTATAACGTTTAACCTCCGGTAGCATATATAAACAGAGAGGATATTATATTTCCTCTCTATATAGTATAAATTTGTAGATTATCGGAGATGGCAGCAGCGTTTTGACACCTAACTTTATTTGATTCCCGCTATATATAGCTATATAATCAGCTTTTGGTCTCTACCAATGGTTTCCACGTAAAGCATGTGGATTTGCTTCGTGGAATGGAAATTTTCAATTTTTATTCAAAAAGAACCGGGGGCAGGTAATTAAAAATGTTGAGATGCAATCGCGAAAGCCTCTCGAGCTGACGTTGGCGATAATCAAACCGCACATCGTTAAATCTCCCTTCGTGCTTCAGGTAATGTAAATCCGAAGATTTTGTAGTAAAACTTGCTCCAAGGAATCGAAAATTGTATTTTGCATTGTACACAGCATTTTACGTGCGCCCTTTGTATACTGCAATCATCCGTTGGCAATAATGAAATTGTAACGACCATCCACGATTCCTTCTATCGTTATTATTATTGTTATGATTTTTAGAAGATTAGGGATCTGATAATCGATAACAATTTGAAGATCGTACGGTCGCGTAGGACAACTCTAACAAGAAACGAGGCCGAGTTGTTCTATGAGGAGCACAAAGAAAAATTCTTTTACAACCGGCTTATGACATTTATGTGCAGCGGTCCTTCAGATATTCATATTTTAGCGGATCACGATGTTATAGCGAAATGGAGAAGATTGATGGGTCCTACGAAGGTGTACCAGGCTCAGTACACTGACCCAAAAACGATTAGAGGGATGTTTGGGCTGTCAGACACGAGAAATGCAGCTCATGGTTCCGGTACATAATATGTACACTATTAGGAAACTGCTTATTTTCTTTCATATTGCAAGCTTTTTTGGACGTCCGTTCTTTGGGTTTTACTACTTGTATAAGAGAGAAATGGTTTTTCTAGATTCAATAAAATCAGCGGAAAGGGAAATAAAAATATTCTTTACTGATTTCGATTTCCAAAGATGGCACGAGTATGAAGAGAGATTCTATAACTTAGGGCATCTGCATTTTGATCCGATAGCATTTATACATACTATTGACACAAACTTTCCGAACACACCAGGCCAGGAACAGATTACCAAATAAATTATTTACAAAGTTCCAAAGAAGCAAAAAATGAGTTGTTAGACTGCCAGAGAACAAGTTATAAAAAATATTAATAGAACAGAGGCAATTAGAAAAGACATTATTGTGTTAAACGTTTAATTAGACACACAGAGTTCTATTAACATGTGTACAAAACCAACTATTAATGAAGTGTAAAATACAAAATTATGTTGTTAATCGTCCCCTTATCTTTCTAATTTTTCGATTAGCTGTACCTTAGATAACAGACTGAAGTATACGAAATCATCATAGAAAAGAGGAATGTGTAGTTGCTCGAAGAAATCATCCTATAAAGTACAGTTCATTTATCTATTCTTAAAATTCTTTTCCTCGAGAGTACTAAGCAGACGAGTGCCTTTCATAATTTTTTTACGACAAAATATATTATATAATAAATCAAGCGTTCATTTTTAATCATAGAAAAGAGGAATGTGTAGTTGCTCGAAGAAATCATCCTATAAAGTACAGTTCATTTATCTATTCTTAAAATTCTTTTCCTCGAGAGTACTAAGCAGACGAGTGCCTTTCATAATTTTTTTACGACAAAATATATTATATAATAAATCAAGCGTTCATTTTTACATAAACCTTTGGCCTCGAAAAGACTTTTATGCCTTCTTCTAATTTGTTTAGTTGTTTCTCTATTTCAATTTTACGTCGTTGGGCCCTGAGTGTATCCACCTTTATAGGCATCATATTTAATTCATTCACGTAATCTTGATAATCTAATCATAAACGGAGATCGATTTGTTAATTACTTGAAACTAATTCTTAGTAATTTTGAAGTTAAATACGTACTTTTTCTCAACATTCGTAACGTTTCTTTTCTTTCAATATCCGGCAGAGGTAGATGACCTTTCGGACAATTTGGATCCAACTCCTCTTTAGTTTTCTGCACTTTCTCTTGAACCTCTTTCCTAGTTTTTATGTACCTAATTATCATTACAGTATATGCGATATGTATTGCACGAATCGCTAATGCAAGTGTCACCACATAATATATAAGTTACGAATTTCATTTCACGTACTTTGGTACCATGCCCATACGATAATTGGCAGGAATAATATTGCTATTATTGGAGTTGTTAGCATGTATTCCCGTTTTATTTACTGCAGTATTCTCTTTGTTAAATTTTATGAAATTTATTTCTTCCTTCAACGACGAAGCTTTGGCATTTTTTACTGGTTCATTTTTACTTTGAGGATTTTGGATCTGGTTACTGTCTCCACGATCTGACGGTAAATTTTCTTTTACATTCCTAAAAGATTTTAATCTTTGAACTTATCTCATATTGTCAAATATACGATAATAAATAAAATACGCGTACTTATCAGTTTTCTGATTATACAATTCTTCCACTTCCTTATCATCTAAAGTTTGAATTCCTTGATTCCGAAACGTAACTTTCTTTTCCATATTATTATCAGCATTATCTCCATCAGAATTACATGAGAAATTTGAATCTGGTTCAATCACTACTTTTTCTTTCAACTTTTGCCCTGATTTATGTGATCCTTTACCACTGGATTCTTTCTTTTTCTCCGTGCCCAATAATAAATTGTTACTAGTCGAATGGATCGTTTTCTTCACATAATTATTATTCTTATGATTCAGCATAGGTGCACTACACTTTTTGCATAACTCTTGATTTTCATCTGTCCGTTTATTGCTACTTAATTTACTATTAACATTGCTTTCGTGTTTCTGTAAATATAAAAATTAAATATTATACTTATATTCTCTGAAACATAAATTTTACTGCATATATCATCACTTACAATTTTCTTTCGATTATTCGCTTGCGATCTGTGCAAATCCTGTTTGTTGTGTAAATTTTCTAAGCGACGGAGATTCTTCACATTTTCGTGTATAAAATTTTTTCCTTTTATCGGTTCTGCACGAAATGCTCATGTTAAGTGAATGAATAAAATAGTATTTTATCGATACAGTTTGTATTATTACGTACTTGTATCAGGAAAAACACCTTTTAACGTTGTCATATTGAAATTTTAATGAATATCAATTATTCGTCAATAATCTTTCCCCGATATACACACCTCACGTATGTGTTAAATAAACAATGTGATTTACATTGCAAACCGTTAACAATACATTATAATCGTAATACGACCATAATATCCATAATTGTACAATTTCTAACACATAATTTCAAATCCCTCGTCATCGTCGTTGCCAAATAAATAAACAATGTTGCTTATTTGCTATTCAGCAGTGGCGCATGGTGTGGGGGAAATAAATGGCTGACGAGGTGATCGATTAGAATCGTATATCGTAGTAAACAAAGAGGATTTTTAAGTACTGATGACAGAAGAGAGAACACTGTGCTGTTTTAGTTAAGATTTGACGTAGAAAATATGTCATTAGCGGACGAATTGCTAGCAGATCTCGAGGAAAATGATGATCACGTTATGGAAGAGGAAGCCGAGCCGGATTTCATTCCGGCTTCGGTTTCGAAAACGATCGAAAAAGGTTAACTTTTAACACCCACGCATCAGCTATTTATTAATAATAATATAATAACAATGTATAATTTCCCCAGTAGAAATGCTTGTTCAAATTTGATAAGATTCTCCTGTTCGCAGAAATAAAAGTGGCATCAGTTAGAGAACTGGCTAAGCTTTGTGACTCGGAACAATTACAGAAAGTAATGTCTCAGATGGAGAAATACAGCAAGCGTCCAAGAAAATCAGCAGATATTATAGGACCAGTTGAATCGGACCCAGAATATCAGCTAATTGTCGAGGCTAACAACATGGCAGTGGATATTGACGATGAAATAGGTTCAAATTTACTTCTTTATTCTACAATAATACATTTGACATCACAAATACAATGGTATTTGTATATTACAGCTACTATTCATAGATTTGTAAGAGACAAGTACTCAAAGAGATTCCCAGAGCTGGAATCTTTGGTTGTTGGTCCCTTGGAATATGTTATGACAGTCAGGGAATTAGGAAACGACTTGGACAGGGCAAAGAACAATGAGATATTGCAACAGTTCCTTACCCAGGCAACCATTATGGTTGTTTCCGTTACTGCGTCTACAACACAAGGGTATTTTATCTCATACCTGAGTTTAGAGATTTACGATTTCCAATTTCTACGTATGTCTTAAAATAATTCTGTTATAGACAACTACTGACAGAAGACGAGAAGGAAGCCATCTGCGAGGCTTGTGACATGGCAGTTGAATTAAACAACTGCAAACTGAGAATATTCGAATACGTTGAAAGCAGGATGGCTTTCATCGCTCCAAATCTTTCTGTGATAGTCGGCGCATCCACAGCCGCAAAAATAATGGGTAATCACGTTAACGAGATTTTCTCCATAGTGCTTCGTACACTAGTTACCCAGAAGTTATTTAATCGATTTGTTTTAGGTGTTGCTGGTGGATTGACTAAGCTTTCGAAAATGCCAGCTTGCAATGTTCTAGTCTTGGGATCGCAGAAAACAACTCTGTCCGGATTTTCCCAAGTCGCGACTCTACCTCACACTGGTTTTATTTATTACTCGGATATCGTGCAAGAAACACCGCCGGTACGTTTATAAATACACTGCCAATGATAAAATTAATGAAATTGGATTTTTATATTGCGATGTTGATTTTTGTTAGGATTTAAGAAGGAAGGCGGCGAGGCTCGTGGCAGCGAAGAGTATGCTAGCCGCACGGGTGGATGCTTGTCACGAGAGCAACGACGGTCGTATCGGTCAAACGTTTCGTGAGGAGATCGAGAAAAAATTGGACAAACTTCAGGAACCACCGCCGGTGAAGTTTGTCAAACCTCTGCCGAAACCTATCGATCCTGGGCGAAAGAAACGCGGCGGTAAACGAGTGAGGAAGATGAAGGAACGTTATGCGATCACTGAATTCAGGAAACACGCGAACAGAATGAATTTCGCCGATGTAAGTAGTCTGCTCTACGGAGTATTTATTGGTCTGTTAACTTTTTGGTGGATCCATAGATCGAGAACGATGCCTATCAAGAAGATCTTGGATATACCCGCGGCACAATTGGAAAGGCTGGCACTGGACGTATCAGATTACCACAGATCGATGAAAAAACCAAAGTTCGGATATCGAAAACTCTACAGAAGAATCTGCAGAAGCAACAGCAATGGGGCGGCAGTACGACAGTTAAGAAACAAGTTTCCGGTACCGCTTCTAGCGTTGCTTTCACGCCGTTGCAGGTAAATGAAAAATAATTCAGCATGTATGAGAATTGCATAACTAACGCTACTTTTAAAATTGTATTTTTCAGGGGTTGGAAATTGTCAACCCACAGGCCGCCGAGAAGAAAGTGAACGAAGCGAATGCAAAATATTTCTCGAACACCGCTGGATTTTTAAAAGTGAAGAAATCGTAAGATTATTCATCGTGACAGAATATATTGTATAGACGATGTACGTATTAGAATTTTTATTTTATAAACGATGACGATTCTAATATATTTAATAATGAGATGAAGGGAGGAAAAAAGACGATAAATTTTATTGCGAACGATCCGTTACTGTTTATTTGTTATACACTATAAGATTGAGTGTCGTCAATGTCGAGATAGCCGATTGCAAAGTTTCTCGGGAAGTTCGATTAAGTATACTACGTACTTTGGCGATTATAATTGGACGTAGTAAATGGCACATAAATAATTTTATTCCAAGTTACTATACGGCTACAGTAGTTGTAACGTGAGGCACGTTTCGATTCATCTTACAAACTTTAATCATTTGTTATAATCCAACTTGTGCCTCCGACGACCATGCATACTCACATGTAAACGTTACGCGCACTCGAAATATAAAAGACTATAAAAAAGAGAAAGGAGAAGGAGAAACCGTCAGCTAGTTTAGTACCTAAGAGCTGTGTGCAATAATATCTCGGTGAAATATTTACAAAACGCGGTGGAATTAGCACTGATTCCCAATACTGAGTCTCACCTACTACATCTGAAATAATTTAATCCCGTCCATATTGACGTTAAATTAATCATTTAAATTAATCTCGTTCGACTAATTACGTATAAAAAAGAAGTCTTCTCTCCTCCTAGGTACCTACGTATACCTGTCGTGCGTAATAATATTGTCTATAGGATGTATTCTAATTTCTACGATGATTGGTAAGTTTCGACTTGTTCGAGAACTGAAGGACCTCCGCGTACGACATCTCCAAACGCTTCAACCGCGCTACGTCTTTCGAGGCTGAGCTCTGGGCGTATTCTCTGTACTCGAAACCATTGCTCTGATGCTGATCGTTACGAGCGTAACCATTATTTATTCTGCCCCTACTAGGATTAGGAGATTCCCTGACTCTACTTGGGTAATTATACCCTCCGTTGTTGACGCAACTATTCTGATCCGCAGCCGTGAACGGTCTAAACTTTCTCCTATTAGACTTGGGCGAGATGAATTTGGGATTGGTAGTCGGTATTACGTCTGGAGTTGTGGATCTATCGTTGGAAACATGCTTCCTACCCGCGTGCTTCCTTCCCGGTTTCTTAGTACCATTCATCCATACGTAATCCGCGTTTCTTCGATTCTTAGCATGTGACGAATCATCTTTGCCCTGTCGGTTTCCATCTGTCCCTCTCGAGGATGTGACTGGCACCTGAATCCTGTGAACGGGCTCGGACACGGTTGAGGATAGAACGGAGGATACGACGCTCTGGTTATCATCCGTGGTTTCGCCAGGCACGATATCTTCCTGCAGGGGAACTGAGGACTGTGGTTGGGAAACGGTGGTAGCGTTCAGGTTGTGGGAAACATCGAGCAGCGGCAGCTTCTCGCCTCCGTCCTTCGCCTCCGCAGCTCGCTTGAGCACCGTGAATATCTCCTGGAACAGCTGTCTATATTCCGGCGTTTTCCTGAAGCGGCTCTCGAACGGGCTGTTGTCGTCGTAGATACTGAACTTGCAGTCCTCCCCGTCGGCTATCGAGCAGAGGAACGAGCCCGGTCGGTCCTCAGTCTGAGTCATCTTGTTGCTGGTCTCGTCTGAGAAGCCGGAAGACAGCGTCTCCGCCTCGGAGAAGTCTGTCGGCGTTGAAGAGAAGGCTTTCTTGTTGATTTCTTTACCGCGTGCCACATTCGGCTTCGCCGGCTCCTGTTGCTGGGCTTCCGGCTCGGATGTTGAGTTCTGGAAGCTGTTGAACTCGCCGGACATTTCCAGTTCCTCTTGCAACGACATACAAGCAGCCGGCGTGCTGTCCTTTCGCTTGATCGCTGACTGCCTTTGAACTTCTAGCAGGGCTTGATACTTCTCCACCAGAACTCTATAGGGATTATTCAGATCGTTCGGTGCGCCGTCCTTGTCGCTCGTATCCTGCGAACAAATGTGTTTGCGTGTGTTGAAAGATTTCAGGGTCTTTCGTCATACGAGAATGTTACATTCTCCTATGAAGCGTTCTGTCTTTTAAATTAGTTATTTCCTCAGTCACTAATTAGTGACTTCACAGTTTTTTCAAGGAGACTGGTACTAGTTAGAAGTCTCAAGTATCTTCTTTTTATTAATGATATTTCTGTTTAACGTTATAATTATTCTGCTCATCTGAATGTTTTAATGAAGACGAGATGGTCTATGATTTGTCTCGACAAGTGCGAATGGAATAATTTTGTGTGCATGTATCTGTAGAGAATGTGCTTAAAGGGTGAAAGGAAGTAGCCAGATTTATAGGATGTTAAATAAAAGATCACCACTGGTTGTATAAAAAAATATGTTTTATTTAATATCGTATAAATCTGGCACTTACATTGTATACTTTTTAACAGGAGTATATATGCTTATAACTTCGACTAGATACAATATTCATGCTTGACGAGGCAAGTTTAATTAAAAAGGAAAGGGAAGAAAAACAGAGGCAGCTATCTTACGTAGGAATAATTTAACATAACTTATCGGCTAATTAGTTAACGTAGCGCAGTCTTTTCTGTTCTTCAAACAGTACTTCCAATAATATCAAGCTAACGTTTAATAGTATACGAACCATTCGCTTAGAATTAATACTATCGTGAATAATGTAAGTGCCCAGTTATAATTTTCATTTCCTTTACCTACACCTTAGTCTATCCAGTCTTACCGAGAGAAGAAGCTTTTACGACGTTTACTTACTTTTACAAATCGTTCGATTATGCTCTCTATTAATCTATCGGCGTGTCTACAAAATATTAGGAACTGTCTAATCGTTAAAACTGATCCGTAAAGTCAAACGATTCAATAGCAAAACAAGTAAGGAAGCCGAAGATTATGTCTACTTAATTTCAGTCGATATATTATGCGAATAGAGTTAACTTTCTTAAAAATATAAACTGCAGGTCATTATGACATCGCGTTAAAGCAACTTTTTACTAGAGCTGAATGGAAGCATCTTTTTTAAAACGAAGATAGGTATTCTGAATGGTTTTAAAAATAGCGTGAAAATGCACTTGTTTTTCATGTACCATAGTATCGTGTAGGGAAAGATAAAAACTAACGACCACGGTCTCCGTATAAAATCGAAAACTCTTCGAAACGGGGAACGGGGAACTTTAGTTCCATTTTTTAACTTGCAAAGTATTGTGGTTTCCTAAAGGAAATAATAATTAAGTATCATTATCTCGTATCGAGATGATAATTCGAGGTTCTTGGGATAATGGAATTTTTTAAATAAAGCGGGGAATGTTGATGATAAAATAAAATGATAGCACGCAGATGAACGTAGGTATGCAATTCTAATAGAAGAAAATGGGTAGGTGCAAGTGAATAAATTAGTTTACCTGTGACAGTAGCTCGATTTCTCGTTGACTATCGTTCACCAATGATTCCGTCATGCTAATGTCGTCGTACTCTTCCTGATTCAACATTATGAAAAGATCGTCGTGCGTCTTCGATTCCATTCCCCTCAAGCAACGTCCGCACAGTTGCCCTTGTCTGCAACAAATCATCATTTTTTCCCCGATGATATCTTTTCACAATTAATAAAATGTCACCCTTTGAGTTTGAATTGAAATGATCTCTTCGTTACTCACCTGACTTCTTCCAAAGTGTTGATCTCTTCCTGAAGATTTCTGATATCCTGAGCCTTGTTACGCCAAACGTTCAACTGTTCCTCCAAGGTGTTATTGTCCTGCAGGACATTAGCCAACTGCTGTTCCAACTCCGTCACTTTTTTCTGTTCCCTGGCTCGTTGGCTCCGAGTTTCTTGCAACTGTCGTAATAATTCTGTGACCTCTTCTTCCTCGCCGGAGGAAATCTTTTGACCGGATGGGGCAGCGCCCTGAAAAATTATTTTCGATCCTTCCTGATTAATCAAATAAATCAATTCAGATGATGATTTAACATCAACACACGACGTTATCGAATCAAGGTGTAAATAGTTGCATGAATGAAAAGCGTCGGAGAAACGGATTCTCTTTTGCGAGAGAAGAGAGATTTCTGTATGAACAGGAAGTGTTTAGCGAAAGCTAATCTCGATGGAAAATTAACTCGGAAAATCGTAAAATTTAAAGACTCCGCTTAGGCAGTTTAGTAACCGATAGCTATCGAACTCGCTCGTTATCGCTTCCATAAATCATAGCGCGATTATAAATAATTCCTCTGAATAATTAATAAGTATAATGTAAGCAGTTTACCTGTTGTATGCTGCCACTGTGCGTGACCGATGCTTTCCATAGCTGTGTCTGTGTCTGCGCTGTGTTCGTCGATAAATTTTCCTCCGATTGTTGTTGCCGTTGACGTAGCAGGCTTTCGTGTTGCTCGGTTATCTCGTCGATTTTCTTCTGCAGCTCTTCGCAGCGTGTCTCGAGGCTCTCGATCGTTAAACACTGGCTGTTAATTAACAACAGACATCGGGTAGTACAGGTGTAATCACCGGAAAAAGTTAAATTCAACCAATTAAAATCGACTGGATAAATTATTGTTATCTCTATCGGCGAATTTCTATCCGTCTGACTTCTAACACACACTCATCATTCTTGTTATCACTGTTAAGAAGATAACAAAATAACAACAGGAATGAAGTATTGAAAAAAGAAATTGTAATTAGATTAGATTTAATTCTCATTGATCTATTATTATTAAGAAAATTTAAGTTATCATTTAAATGAATAACTTTTGACACAATTAATTAAATAATTGATCCGTTATTGAAAGAATGCAACACAGAAATAATTCGTTTTGAAGAAAATAACTAAAGAAAATTGACGAATTTTTATAGATTCTCTTACCTTTTGATAAGCTTCTTATCGCTGGTGTTCTCAATAACGAGCCGATGATTCGCCCGCTCTAAATCCTGTATACTAACTTCCAACTGCTCGTAAATTTTCAATCGCGAATCGTTTACTTCCCTCAGGGCAGCCGTCTGTTTCTTCATGTACTGCGACAGGCGAACGGAGAGAGCGTAGAGAGGAAATTCTGTGGTTGTTTATAAATATTTGTTTGCACGTGCGCTTACCTCTATTTCTTGTGCCTGTTCTTCGACGGTGGTCTGATGCGCTTTGATGATGTTCTCCAATTCCTTGTTCCGTTCCAGAAGCGTTTTGCCGAGTTCAGCTGCCAATTGTAGATCTGGAACAAAATCGATTTCAAGCCTGTCAGCGACATGCGTGGAACATCAATTTTCCGCTACAATTCTGTGCTCTAGATTCGATCTTATTAGACCAACAGGGATATTTTTTTTGTTCAAATGCGCGACGTAATGTGAATATTTATAACAGGCTGAACAATTCGCCTCGTACTGCCACAAATCCACCAATTACAAGCTGATTCTCTGTTGCCGTCGGACACGAACACTGTCAACGATGTTCCGCGGTTCAGCGATATACCTTCGGGGCTCTGTAGACAAGATAGGTCGACGGAGTAGTCCCAGCAGTCGAAGGAGTTGATCTGGGCCTGCGGGTCCCAGACCACGTCCACGCTTGGCCTGTTCATCTTTCTCAAACTTCTCTTCGCCAGCTCACCGTTCACTGTGTACTATAATCCCGACGAGATTCAAACTGACCCCGGCTGGGTACTGTCAACGCGATCAAGTCGATCTGGGGTACACTCGCGGACGTTCGAGAGAGGAGTGGTGGTGCACGCGAGCGGAGGAGCGAGCAGAGTTTCCGTAGAACGAGGCAACCGGTTCCGACGAACGCGCCCGGTCTTCTGTCGGAATGTATCGGTAAGCGGTGGTCTGAGAGCCGGTGAACGAGTCTCGAATGCCGCTGACACCAGGTACGAACCCGACGAACTGTCTCTCCCTTCTTTCCTCGCGTTCTCCTCCTTTCCCCGACCCTTTTCTCTCTCTCTCTCTCTCTCTATATCTCTTTCTGTCTCTGTCCATCTCTCTTTTATTCCATTACGGTGTGTAATTCCCTTCTGGATGACACCTGGACGAGGAGAACGCATCTCGGATATTTAAGATCCCACTCTCTCTCCTTTTTCTTCTTCCTTTCTCTTTTTTCCACGGATCAAGATAAACATTATCTCGATCTATCTATTTCCTAATTACTATAAAACTTGTTGATCACCTCATGATATAGGCTCATTTGCCAATCTCCAACAGCGATGTTATGTTTTATGCACATCGACCGTGTCAGACGAAATGTCAAAGGTCAAGATCGATCGTACTTCCTCGATTGAAATTCTTATTGAATAATATTGTACGTATCTGAAAAATTGCCAGTGCGTTCGAAACTTGGACGAACGTAAAAGGGGAAGCTTGCGTAACGATCATCGTCGCACGTTGTTGCCAGAAGACACAGAATTGTTCCTAAAACGCACGGATTATGTAATTAACGCGTAACACCGTGTAAGCAGCGTTACAACATTAAATTCCAAACAATTTCACGAGGAAATCATCCTCCGGCCACGGTTTAGGTTCCACGGTTTTAGCCGGCGCACATTTATTATTTCTTTTCTTTCGAACGGGAAAACATTTACATGCCCCCGATTCTTCGACGCTCGCGTCGAATCCTTTCCTCGATCGCCGTACGTATGTAGCATTTCACTGTAGTAATTGGCGAGAAAGTTAGAATCGTGCTTTTACAATTGAAAACTGATTATCGATGCGTAAAAAAAAAAGAGTAACGTTGCAACGGCCCGTACCCGTGGATAACTTCGGAAATATCGCTTTTACTACCGCCCCCGCATATATGCGAATATTACAATCGCGTTACAACGTGCACGTTGTTACCTATAAATAATCGCGTTCACCCAGCGAATTTCCATTGCAGATTGGCATGGAGGCTTCGAAGAATGGAAGTCATTGGAAAATTACCGAGCAGGTATCGCGTTATATCGAGCATGAGAAATAAAATCAGGACTCGTTCTATCATTAATCTACACCCCCGTTCAGCCGGTCTTGGGATATATTGCAAAATGTTTTAACTGCGCGAAGGAACGAGTTGAAATTTCTGATACTTCAACAGATGTAATGATTAAACAAAGATTTAATGTAAAATTTATTCTTCAATGAGTTCTTCGACATTAAAAATCTTTGGATGCTTCATTTCTCTGTTGATTTATGATATTCCGTTTGTTACATTCGATTGAAAACATTTTTTCAGGAATATTTGTTCGACAGACAACGAACGGTTGAGTGGCCTCTGAACAGGTGTGTATGTTAAGTATCTTCGTTTCTATTAAACTTGACTAGCCGCGGAACGACTTCCTCGTGGTATTTCGATTTAGAGTAACCCCAAACTGACCTCGAATCGATTTTCCCGGGCGAACGAGTGGTACTTTCTCCGGTGCTTAATCCGGGAACGTTATTAATCTTCCCGATCGATCGAAATAAAAAACAGGAGAGGTATTGTTGTTAGCTTGCCAGCCTCGCAGGTGCACTTAACTTTAGCTTATCTCGGGAGAACCGACTCCGGCTGACCTTTAGACGGTGTGAAACCTCGCCTGGGAGTCGATGTTAATTTTGATGGAATACCGTTTCACCGCGCCCTGTGAAACGCTTTATAAATTGAAGAACAATGAGCACGATCCGTAAATTCGTTCACAGACTCGTGTACCTTAACAGGAAGCGACTAAACAGGCTCTGTGTTTATTATAAAAATTCCAAACTCATCTAAACTGATAAGACAGATACGAATGGAATCAAGTGGCGAATATTGAATAGGAGAATTTATAGTTTATTTATTGTAAAGCACTTTATAAAGTGAACAACAATGAGTTCGATTTGCAAATTCGTTCACTGACTCGTGTATCTTAACAGGAAGCGATTACACAGACTGTACGTTTATTACAAAAATTCCAAACTCATGTAAATTGATAAGACAGATACGAATGGAATCAAGTGGCGAATATTGAATAGGAGAATTTATAGTTTATTCATTGTAAAACACTTTATAAAGTGAAACACAATGAACTCTATTTGCAAATTCGTTCACACGTGTATCTTAACAGGAAGCGGTTAAGCAGGTTCTGCGTGAAAATTGCAATCAATCTTTTGAGCGGTGAAAAATGAATGAGACAGATATAAATGAAACGAAGTGAAATCTATGTTGAAGAATGAGTTTATTCATTCCTTGTTACATCAACTGATGATCTGCTCTTACTCTTGTTATACTTACAGAATTGCTATGTATAAAACTTTTGTTGACTGAATAATAAAAAGTCATCGGATTTTAATCCGTGTAAAAAGGGAAAAATAAGAAAGAAGACAGTAGGAGTTAGTTAGTTTGCGTGTATGGAATCGTTTCACTATTTTGAATGGTATTTCACGAATGGGATCGCGATTTCCGGACGAGCCATTCCCATTTCTCGCTTTAAGCAGAGAGCACAGTGGCAAAAAACTTAGGCCGAGAGGCTCGGTTCCCATCATTGTGGCAAACGGTGCATAAACAATCCTGTAGCGACATTCCAACCGGAATTTCTCGCGATGCTCGCACCATAAGTCTCTCCACCTTCAATCCAGTCTCATTGTCTCTCACACAGACATTTGTTACTCTTACCAGATGCTCCGTTTCTCTGATTATTAACCGATGTTAACAATGTCGAATTTATATCAAGAGACACAGAGAGAATCCGTTTTTATTTATGGAAACTATAGACATAAATTTTTTATCACAAGGAAAGCTGATTGTTTGCTAAAAGATGGAAAGACTTCGTGAGAGAATTGCAACAAACGGTTAAACAGTCTCATTAGCCAAGTTTTACACAAGTACTCTGTTTTTATAATCATTCAACCAATGTTAATAACGTTGAATTTATATCAAGTGACAGAAAAAGAGAATCCTTTTTTATTTATGGACAGTATAAATAGACGAACTTTTTATGAGAAGAAAAGCTGATTGTTTGCTAAAAGAGGGAAAGACCTTGTGGGAAAATTGTTGACCGATTATGCCAATTGCAACAAACGCTTAAACAGTCTCATTAGCCAAGTTTTACCAAGTGCTCTATTTTTCTAATCATTCAACCAATAACAACGTCGAATTTACATAAAGTGACAGAAAAAGAGGATCCTTTTTTATTTATAGACAGTATAAATAGTGATTAATTTTTTATATTAAGAAAAGCTTTCCTAGAAGAGGGAAAGACTTTGCGAGAAAATTGTTGACCGGTTATGCTAAGTGACGGACGGTTAAACGACCTTGTTAGCCGAATGAATTTCGTGAATAAAAGGCGGATAGTGTGAAACGGAAACGGAAGTTGGACGGATGCAAGTAGAGATCGAATGAAAAGAGAGGAAATTCAATCGGCGAGAGTTTAAGCCGTTCGGTTACTTTTTAACCACAACGCTTTCCAGCCCTTATCTGCGTCGGCTACTTGAGTTTCATTTCGATATATGCGTAATTGACCGCAAGAAAAAATTAACCGAGTTAAATGATTTTTCGATTTCGATGAAAGAAACCATAATTTTAAGCGACAAGACAATCCGGGAGATGTACTGAAACTTTCCATAATCATTTCATCTGTATTGAAAAAAAATGTACAAATGACAGTACTGCGAATTTAATGTATTTATGTGTACGTGCCAAAGAACGTGCCGCACAAAAATATTTGTAGACAAATAAACGTAGCAATTATTTACGACGGTGTACTAAATTTTTGGGTTTCGTTCCCTAAATATTTTTGCTAAAATTCTGCAACAGAGAAAGAGCAGTAAAACCTAAAGCCCAAACATCTGCAGGGTTCAGAAGTTGTTAGACAAAGACCCGAGGAAAGTTCTACAATAGTTACCACCGTTACCTACGGAGATCAGCTTAGGAAGGATGAACCCTTGGTGCAATTAGTGCTAAAATTTATTATCCCTGTCCACGAACGAGTCACCAGTACCCGGGTGTCCAACGCCTAATCAATTGCTTAGGTAGTTTTACACAGACGTGAACATTTTCGGCCTAAGCCGATTTACGACCGTTTCCGGATTCTTATTGGGAAAGTAACTTCCCTGTCGAGACCTTGTAGCACTGTTTCATTGCCCCAACGGTTCTTGCAACGTTTAGGGAAGCGAAATGTATGCACGTACTTAATTACACTCGAGAAAAGAAGAAAATTAATGTTTAATGGATAAACAAATAATTGCAATTAGACCGGGGAATATCGAACGTTCTCAGAGAACGCATAGCAAATTGTAATTACGCTTGTCTTATTGATATTAATCGTAATGACATTGCGCTAGATATCGGTCCCAACTTTCATCGGATTTTAATTAGAGTAAAAGTTGTCTCCCTATCACTTTACACGAAAAAACGAGACGACCGTGCTCTTTACACGCGAGAAACGCAGCCTAGAATTGTAACTTTTTGCGAGTTCTAATCTAATCGTTCCCCGCTGTCGCTTTGGGAACGAACGCTCTACCGGAAGTGCAATATGCACGTTAAAAACGAGGCCTGATTAATAACGACGACGTGTGCAATTAACCAGAATTCTGTGTACAATGTGAAATAGGATTCCGTTCTGGGTTACCAGTAAAAGAATTATGAATAAATTAGTAAGCATGATTGCATGAATTATAATTTGTTCGCACAATTTATTCTGTTCTGCGTAATCTGTCCCAGTTCCTCTTTTCGGAGTTCCCAGTTCCTCGTTCGATGCTGAGCAGAGGAATTAACCCATTTGCAAAATATTTCACATAAATAACGCAACGCTGGCAATGCAGATGAGTTACGTTGGATCAGATCGTTCGATTGTATGTATAAACTTTATTACGTGACAATAGAACGAAGGTATCGATATTATTAATGAACCTGGTATGCAATTAGGGTGGGGCCAACAGTGAACGCTGCGCGATTTTTTTTATTAGAATTTTTGTCAGCCAGTGAACGTCGTATGTCACGTCAACTACTCGCCGGTATATCGTGACACGATAGTTAAACAGTCAGGATAGAATAAATCATGCGGAAGGGTAAAGTTCTTGCGGTTAAGTTTCTAAATACTCGCGTTTACAACAAGGATAGTCACGGCGCGCTGGCAGAATTCAACTGTGGAACACACAAATACAAATAATTGATCAGTTACCTTTGCACATTAATAAACATTTAATTACATTACTGTAAATGATGAAATGCTGATAAGATCGCAAACATTATATATTAGCACATAATTGATCTAATAATGAAACGCATTAAAGATCCATAAGGAAGTACTTAGTTCTCAATGCAATTCAGAATTCAATTACAGAATATACAAATAATTGATCGATTACTATTACACATTAATAAATATTTAAATACTTTTATTACTGCAAATACTGAAAATATCGTAAACATTATAGATTAGCACATAATTCATGTAATAATGTGGAACGTGTTAAAAGTCCATAAGGAAGCATTTAGCTCTGAATGCAACTGGATGATGCGCCAAGATTCAGAACGTGAGAGTCTCGATTCGATTGAATGGAAGAAAATATAGGTAATCGGTACAAGGCCTCGGTAGCTGTTAAAACTATCCTCGTTCACTCGAAGCCGGCAGCATGTTAATAACGATTACCAGCGTTCTCCTCTTATTTCGTCGGGCGCACGATGTTATTTACGCGGACAGATGTCGATAGCGCGTCTAATTCAATTCTATCTCCTTCTGAATACCGCGCGGCACTTATTCTACAATGGTTTCGAAACTCGACTGGACGTAAATGAAAATGAAGTTGCGCGTACGGTTTCTCAAGTATCGTGACAACGCGCGTCGACCCAATTCAACGTTCAGTGGATACTCGTTATCGCTAATTATCACCGGACTGACCAGACGAAGTAAAATCATTCCAAGAATAAATTATCCGTGTATCTAGAATTTTACGTAGAAAAAATGTTTTACGATATTGCTTTGAAAAATATATTTCCTGTGAGAATTCTTTGAATGTACAACATTTAACATGTCCGTCTATTACTATTATTGATAGATTATAGACAATCACAGATAAGTTGACACGA